GAACGCAGCGACAGCACCCAGGCCCAGAGGTCAAGCCCACGACCGAGATAAAAAATCAGAGCTATGAGATGACTAGAACAATGGAACATGAAATAGATTATAATATAGATTCAAAATCCTGCTCTCTGGGACCAAAACCCAATGAACAAAATTATGAGGAACAGAAGTCTCCTAAAATATGTGAAGGAAACAGAGGTCTGGTTAGTAGTAAAATGAAAAATACATACTGTTAGCAGAATTTTGGCTTGAGAGAGATATAAAGGTATGGAATAAGTTCAGAAAGGAATGATCCAGGAAAACAAACAAGAGACAAAATGTTGGCTTGAGTGTTTGTGAGGAACTAAGTATTAATTTTGACTATCAGCATTACTGAGGACTCTGTAAGACTGAGAGGAGGCATGAAGTTCAGAGGCATGATTCAGGTTCAGGTCAGGAGACAAGGCTGTCTAGGACAATGACAGAGCAGGATGAGAGAGCCAACTCAAGTCCCTTGGTGAGGATATAGACAATAAGGGCTAGTAGGCTAAAAGAGATTGACCCAACAAGACAGTGACAGTCATGCCTAGTGTAAAAAAAAAGAAAAAAGAAGACTATCAAATGTAAAACGCTTATGAAAAGCCAAGTAAAAGGCAGTATGGAGGAGACATTGTGATCTTCAACACTGACTAGCTGAGAATGGTCATCTTCTATTTGTAAACATATTGTTAAACATCACAAAAGTGAAGGCTACCAGGATGCATGTAGAAATGGGCATGTAGGCTACAAGCATGTGAGATGACTGATAATGGCACCAGTCTTGTTTCGGCTGGATGAATAAGACAAGCATAAAATTAATAAAGATAAAGGAAATAAAGGGCTCGTGTGAATCTTTGCGGAGGCGGGGACCATAAAGAAGCAGCAAAAGCTGAAGTGGAATAGAACAGGTCTGAAAATGGCAATTGCTTTCTGTGGCTTCCTAGCTTCCAACCCGTTTTTCAACTCACTCCAGCTATAGTGGCCACTATTCCTGCCAGTCCCTTGTACCTGCAAAAGGCTATCTATTGAAACTTAGGCTTAGAAGGCTCGTGGAGGGAGCAAGCAGTGGTGTCTTTATTTCCCTCAAGTTTCTGTTCAAATTTTCTCTTATCAATGAAGACTACATTGTAAAATACAACATCATTCCCTACTACCTGACTTAGGTTTGTCTCTCTCATCTGCTAGCACTCCCTCAAAGAACAGACCTTGTTTGGTTTAGAACAGTATGAATTCCTCACAAGAAGCACCAAATATTATGTGATTATTATATTATTAATGAATGAAGAACAGGAGGTATAGACAAAAGACATGAAAGCAGATAGCGGTTAATCTGGAGCATAGTGCAGGAAAACAGGGACAGATACCAAGGTAGTGTTCTACTTTATTAAAGTGACTCCAGGCTCCAGAGTCGGTGTGACTTCACTGTATCTATACTCTCTCTATCTTACCAAATATTAGATGTGAGACCTATCATCTTCCTTAAGTGTGAAGAAGGAAATTAAAGACTGAAAATTTTAGACAAACTACTGGTTTTTCTTGGAGAGTAGGCTTATGATTAAAAACTTAGTATACTAGATAAGTTCAAAGCACTTGGAATTTCTAGCTTTCAGAAAACACAGCTATCCTTGAGCTCATGTTCTTGGTATTTATTTCCCTTCATTTTCAGGCTATGCTTTAGGTTAAATACTCATAATTTCAAAGCCAGTCTTATAAAAAAAGAATTTTAATACATGTTATCATCAAGATACCTTAATAATCATAAAAAATCAGCAAGCATCTCACTCTTACAGAGAACCACAAACCATATATAAATAGTATTAAGATTGCAGTAAAAAATAGCTACACTTTTTTCATTTAAAAATGGATCAAGTTGCTGGTACTGATGGCTCATGCCTGTAGTTCTAGTTATTCAGGAGGCTGAGATCCGAGCGAGGATTGTAGTTCAAAGCCAGCCCAGGCAGGAAAGTCCATGATATTCTTACCTCCAATAACCACCAGAAAACTTAAAACAGGATTGTGGCTCAAAGTGGTAAGCCCTAGCCTTGAATGAAAGAACTCAATGATAGAGCCCAGGCCCTGAGTGCAAGACTAAATAAATAATTAAATAAATAAATAAAAATTTCCAGGCACTGGTGGCTCACACCTGCAATCCTAGCTATACAGGAGGAGATCTGAGGATCATGGTTCAAAGCCAGCCAAGGCAGGAAAGTCCTCGAGACTCTTACTTCTAATGAATCACTAAAATAAAAAAACGTAAGTGGAGCTGTAGCTTAAGTGGCAGAACTAGTGCTAGCCTTGAACAAAAAAGCCCAGGGGCAACACCCAGGCCCTGAGTTCAAGCCCCAGGATTGCCCACAGCCAGTGGATCATTTAAAATCCAACGTCCAACTCAGTCACTCTTTTGAGTTTAATATTAAAATATTAAGAATTTTCATCAAAGAAATTACTATTTAAAACAATGTATTTCTTGACTTAAAAAAACAAACACTAAATACAAATTTCAAAAACAAAAATGCATAGCATCTCATTGTGACAAATTTTTATTCTAAATTAAAAAGCAATAAAGCAATGACCTGTTACTTATGAAATGTCAAGTAAATACACCCATTAGACTAAATCATGAAATTCCCAAATCAAAATATATTACTAAAAATCCATTTCAGCTGGGCACTGGTGGTGGCTTATGCCTGGTAAACGTAACTACTCAGGAAACTGAGCATTGCGGTTCAAGAAATTCAAGACTCTTAACTCCAATTAATCACCAAAAAGCCGACAGTGGAGCTGTGGCTCAAGTGGCAGAGCGCTAGCCTTAGGCAAAAACAACTCAAAAGACAGCACTCAGGGCATGAGTTCAAGCCCCAGGACCTGCACACATACATGTAGAAATGTAGGCACATGTGTGCACACGCGCATACACGCACACACACCCCACACACAATTCTAGGGTTGAGGATGAAATACCTCATGGTAGAATGCTTGCCCACAAGCAAGCACAACTGAGGTCCTGGGCTCCATTCTTAGTATTGCAAAAAATTAAAATAAAAACTAAAAAAAAAAAAAAATCCTCCATTTGACTGAGTTCTTTCTCATTTTTGGCTCTTCTGCTACATTAAATATTCTATAAGGAATATTTGGATTACTGTAGATGCCTTAAGTTGCCTCAGTCTTTTGACCTATTTCCCAAGAACGGTAGGAAGAGTCCTAAAATAATCTCTTTAGAATCCACTAACAGGAAAGAACAGCAAAGGGAACAACTCAGATGTAAGGTGTATATATATATATATATATAAAACTATAGCAATGACCAGGGGCAACTAGTTCATGATCTTAAAAGGGTCAGCTTCATCTGTAAATCCCAGCCCTACCACCAAGTTATGAAGCCCAGAGCAAGTCATTCATACCTTCAAAGCCTCAGTTTCTACATAAAACAGCAGAAGTTCACATGACTTACAATATACCCATATGAAATGCTTAATTTAGGAAGTACTCTGTTAAGTTTATGTTGATTAAAACCCCTTTTATTTAGTTAAACCTCTTTTATTCCATTTACTTTTTTATTTTTGACATGCTAGGTTTGAACTTGGGGGTCCCATGAGTGCTATGCAAACACTTTACCATGTGAGACACACCCTCACTCCCCCAATAATCTTTTAAAAAGCTAATGATCTACAAGGTGACTTGGAAAATATGTGGTCTTGAAACTCTGACTTAAAAGTAAGAGAACCTTAGTCCTGCACTAACCCAAAGCCAGATGTGTGTTACTGATTTGGGAAGTTGAGGGGTAGTGCCAGGGAAATTGTGCTATAGACTACTACTGTAATAATATTTAAACATTTCAACTTTTAAGTTTTCATTTTGGAGCCATTAAATAATATTATTCAATGATGACAGTATAAACTTAGAGAAAACAGATTACACATGCACACCTTTAATATATTTACCCATAAAACACTTTTTTAAAATGGTAAACATTTCAAAAAAGTTGTTTATGACAAAAATAAAAATAAACTCCTGAGAGTTTAAGGGGCAAGATTATCAACTGCTTAAAGAGGAAACTACATGAATAAAGATAATTTCCTTTTTGGAATATAATGAGAGCAGTATAGAAACACAAACACCAACTTCCCTTATCCACATTCTTTATACTGGAAAAGCACTTAGTTACGAGATAATTTTTAGTTTAGGTGGCTTAATTATGTAAGGAAAAAGTATCTTTTTTGAGGGGGGTTTACCTATGTGTGTAAGAATAATTTAAAAAGATAAAGGTTGATATGGGATTTAGGTGTAAGTGTTTTAGAGTGGTTGGTATGCATAGGTTACAGGAATAAGACAGCTATGGTTAAGACAAAGTTTTATACAGGCATGCAGAAGGAAGTATATCAACAGCAAAAGCTTAAAGAAACTTCCCTTTCTTATTCATTTAGTTTTACAAAAAGAACACAATTTAAAATTCAGTCCTAATATACAATACATAAAGCCTGATATGATAAAATGAAAAATATTCATTCCATAAATATAACATGTGCCCAATAACTTACTAATTTACACTATCAAAATATTCATAATCACTTAAAGTTAACTCAGCATTTCAACATTGTTAATTTATGTTAATAATTTATTATAAAACCCAACTAAGAAATTTTATTCTTTTATCACAGTTAAGATAATTTTAGTGACAAGATTGAATTATGTAATGAAAAACAAATTCTTTAACTATTGTGGAAAACCTAGTCTTTCCTAAAAATGCTGTTCATAACTATAGAACTGATCTATAGGGTTAGAAGGGTTGAGGCTGTGGGTAGGATAGTAGGGGCAATGCACCATTTTCATTTTAGAGGCAACACCAATTCATGTAACATAACCATAACATTCCAAGTACATTATAAACTATCATTAATTAGAATTCAAAAATGTGAAGTGGAAAAAAAGTAATTCCAAAATATGATGTCCAAATCAATTTCAATATTCAAAAAGTTCAGTCCCCATTCAGAAACAGATAAACAGTATATTTATTAAATGAGTTAAGACAAATAAACTTTACAAATAGACAAATAATAAAAGGCTCAGTGGCTAAAATAGATGGTAAGCATCATTAAAAGAAATCAACACCATCACGGTATCTCAGTTGGCTTACATGTGGAAAAAGAAATTTTCAAAGAGCAATTTCACAGAAATGAAGCCAGTTTTTTTTTTCTTATAAACAAATCACCATTTCTTGGTTCAAAACTGACATCTGTTATGAAAATTACCATATCACATATTTGTAAGATGACAAGGAGTAACTCATCTTCAAAGTGCAAGTAAGTCTATTTACAACCACAAAAAAGGCAATGATGAGGAGAAAAGGATTTTTAAAAAATATACAAAGATTAAAAACATTTGGGATGTAAAATTAAACATTTTTTTTGGTTAGAGGATTAAAGAGAAAAAGTGATTGAATTACAGATGCTGATTTCAGCTATACATAATATATAATGGAATCTGAGATCTTTAACAGCTTTGCTTGCATTTTTTTTCCTACTTACATAATGCTCTGGAAATTTCTGGTAGAAATTACAGTGTCTCAAAGAGAGAAATACACACTAAGCATGTCTTGCTACTACTTCATAGATGTCATAAGACCGGTTTATGGATTAGAGTTGGTGTAAAAAGCCATTGCCTTGAGTTGAAAATGAATACTGTAAAAGCTCAATACAAATCCTCCAAAGCACATGCACTTCTAAATCATTTGGTAAGTACATTCATATTTAAGCATAACCAAAATAAAAAAAAAAGAAAACTGAAAACATTTCCCTTTTCTCTATTCCCTATGCCTTATAGGCTTCCTCAGTTAATAGGGTCAATTTTTAGAGTTGAAAGGGTTCTTCAAGATGAGTCTAGTCCACCACCCTCATTTAAGGTAAACTATTTCCCCAAGATCATGCAGAACATTAATGGCAAAAACCAGGACTAGAAGCCACGTCTTGACTCCTAGTCTAAATATGCTTCCAGCATATCATGCTACCTCTTTTTTTTACAGTATGAATCACTATAAATACCTGATGAGTAAATGTACAATGATAAATGCTGACAGAGCCATTGTATTTCTAAGTCTTGCAGAGGATTACTGCAAAGAACTGATGGAGAGAAAAAGATTTCCCCCACCCATCAAAAATATCAAGCACCATCAACTAACATTTCTTTTCTGGGTCAGCACTCTAGGATGTAGTAGTCCTCGTAAACTCTATGTCAGTCTGAGGATTGTGTATCTGGTGAAATCTGGGCCCTGATACAATACCAATTTTTAAAGGGTAAAGACAAGAGGAAAACAGGAGGAAAAGGTAGACAGGACAGAAACAGTTTTTAAAGAATCTAATTGGTTTAGAAATGGGCATTCTAGAATACAGTTAACTATTATATCTAAATATATCTGTTTAGAAGCTTTTCTACTTTTCACCTACTCTCATTTTACCTAATCTGTTTTTTGGCCACTTAATAAAAGACAATGATTACATTAAAAAATTAAAAATGTGAAATAATGTTTTAGGTAAGTTGTGGTAATTTTTGTATTCTGATTCTACTAGATTATCAACAAGGAATTAAAGCAGTACTTCATGGGGCTGTTACCATCTTGAAATTTATTCCAATTGCGATCAAAGAGAAAAGACTGATGCACCATTATATGCAGAATTGAGGAAAGAAGCTGAAATGTCTTTTTAAAAAAACATTGCCGTGTATTTATTTAGTAAAAGGGCATTTTTATTTATGTTTACAAACAAGTTCAAAAAAGAAAGAAAAACATGTATGCTTCTACTTGTTAACCTTTTTCAAAATGCCAACAGCCCTCATGCTGTATGAAGGTCTCTAAGGATTTATTAGAAAAATCAATACAATTCACTCACAGTTCACCAAGACATCACTAAACTAACATATTTAGACAAAAACAAAAAGGACTAAGGTTCTCTTGTAGTTTGATAGTTTGATTTAATTTGATTTGCCTGAAATAACAAAAGCATTTCAAGCATCTTTCATTATGTAGTTGATGTCCTGCATTAAACAATCTACTAAATTTTGAACAAAAGGTTATTAGCAAGTTTTCAAAAATTTTAAAAATTAAACAGTTGTTTCAAAACCATTAAGTAGTAAATGTATTTAAGAAACTAATTAGGACAGATGCCATAACTTTATTAGAACACCACTGCTCATGTTTTTTTTGTTTTGTTTTCTTTTTTTAAACAAAGCATTAGTGTTATCTATTTGGCTATTAGTATTAGCAATTTATCTACAATATTTAACAAGGTAAATTGTAGGCAAAAATTTAGTACAGTTTCAATAGAAACACCCCCCCCCCCTTTTTTTTTCCTGAAAATACAGCAGTATTTGAAGGACTAATTTTTCTTTGCATCAGTTATAAGGAAGCTTCCCATCTATGAACAGGAACAAAAAAAGTATCTACAAACCTTGTAAACAGATCTGTATCATTTATAAACATAAATAATCCAAATTATTAACAGCCAACAGCAGAAATGAAAGTATCAATTCAATGATCCAGGGCTCTTTGTCTTGCCCAGCTTACTCCTCCCTCTCTCCCATCAAGGACTGAGAAAAACTAAAGTTCTGCTAATACACTGTTTAGGACCATTCCACAGGTCACTTATACTGAGTTACTGTTTATCTGTCAGTTCATTTCTCCCACCCCACAAAAAGCACCCTCAGTCTGGCAGAAAGCTTTGCTTTTTTTTTTTTAAAAAAATAAATCTACATTCGTACAAGTGTGTCTTCTGTTGAAGTCCAAAGACAAGAATACTATCTTGTCCATCACAATATGTGAAAAGACCCAGTTTCAATTTGTTTCTTTACAATGCAGCTAGTGTGTTAACATTCAGCTTACAATCAGAGTGATGTTTCCAAACTATGTAGTGGGCTTCCTGGGGATGAAGAGGTAGCAGACTTGTTCATATCTATTGTAAGGTGAATTCCGCTGTCAACAGCATTGTTATTTTTGTTAGGAGAGGGTGGAGGACTGGAGTTACGTTTTGTAGGAGCATCGTCTTCAGCATCAGTGTCATCAATAAGGGGGATATGAGGCTCTGAATCTTCTATCCTAAACTCAGGATGTGTCATAAAGTTGTGAATCGAACTTCTTGATTCTGGTTTTTCTAACCCTTCATATAAAGAACTACGAAATGCATTCACCACTCGAATCTGTAAATATCAGAAAACACAGGAAGATGTCAGTACACTATTCAGTTAACTAAAAAAATGGTTCATTTATGAGTTTGAATCCACAAACAGCTAGGTATGAGTGAATCATATTTGCATGTAATGCAGTGGAACTTGCAATACACTGTAAAAAAATGAATATTTTAGTAGGACACTACAGAACAACAAAACCACATACTCTTAAGAACTAAGAGGTATAGATTCAAAGTAATATTATGAAAACCTCATTGTCAGTGGCTAAAAATTTAATAGCCATTTTATAGGATTTTTTTTTTGCCTAAAAAAACGAAAAACAAACAAAAAACTGAACCATACACAAGCTTAGCTGATTTGTTTTTAAATTAAAAAAGAATGTATTTTTGAAAACAATTCAAATAAGTTAAACAAAGTCAAGCACAAAGGGTTACTATTTATCATGCTAGGAATTAGGGTGTCACCGACTATGAAAAAGCCAAGCAAATATAAGCTGAATGTCACAATGAACTCACATCTACCCCACTACTCCCTTTATTAAAAAGTAAAAATAAAGACAAAACCCAAGTGAATATCTATAAAATGCCATTAAACAGCTATAAATATTTGAGTATATGCCATTTTTCTAAAAATATTCAGTGTGTTTCTCTATCATAGCTTACAACATATCACTAAAGTTCTTTGGAAACAATTTAAAATGTGAAAAATTCTACTGGAATTCTTCTGTCACTCAAGTTTGAAGACACAAAGTTTCAAAGTTTTCTGTAATTCACCCCTATAGACAGTGCAACAATTTACCTTTCTGCTTAGAGATCTGATGTACAAATTTAAAAGATGACAAAGGGTAAACTTTAAAACCAGGTTGTAGTGATGCCATTTCTTATTGTGTTGTTCAGATTAAAAAGTAAGCAAACAACAACAAAAGACAAAATCCAAATGGCTGAGTGCTTTTATATATCCAATGAAATACTGTATACTTCTGTTTTAATTCTAATGACTTGTTTAAAAAATAAAGACAACCTCAAATGCTAAGGGAAGATTATAAAAGATTAAGAAAATAATCTTAAGATAATAATAAATGGGCATTTCTTCATTATTTAACCTGTATCTCTTCATATACGTGTTTCAAAATTGGTTTTAAAAAATGGGATTTAGGGCTGGGAATGTGGCTTAGTGGTAGAGTGCTTGCCTAGCATGCATGAAGTCCTGGGTTTGATTCCTTAGTACCACATAAGCAGAAAAAGCTGGAAGTGGCACTTGGGCTCAAGTGGTAGAGTGCTAGCCTTGAGCAAAAGAAGCTCAGGGACTGGCAAAAAAAAAAAAAAAAAAAGAAAAAAAGAAAAGAAAAGAAAAAGGAAAAAGAAATAAAATGGGTTTCAGTTTGCCACTTACTAATGCAGGAACCCATTCAACGTGTTTCTCTCAGGTATAAAGTAAGAATCAACAATAACTACACCTTCTGGGGCTGTTGTGGGCGCAGTTAGTACTGCTAACTGATAGTAACAGTGTTAGCACACAAGTATCAATTCCAGGGCTTCTCAAAGGTGCAGGGGCCTGAGATCTCAACCTTCCCAGATGCTGTTGGGCCACAATCCACACATGGAGAATAGATGATCTAGTATATCTTCTTTTGTGATTCCATCATACTTTATAGTTATGTTTTACTCATGTGTTTGTATTTGAGCCTTAATCTGACAGAATAATAGCAGCAAATACATTTACTGTTCTTGTTCTGCCCACCCCTTTACTAATTAATTGTTTAAGGAATGTAAACAATATGCTAAACACACTATTAAAATCATCCATTTAATATTTTATTTTGAAATTCTACAATTCATAGTTTTAAAAAGAATGTTTTCTCTAGAGATCATAAAAATAATGATCTTATTAATAAAATGGTATTAATCAAGATTCATTGTACTTAGCCTGATATATGGAATTGTAACCTCTTTGTACAGTTACTTAATTTAATAAATGAAGGGAAAAAAAGATGATCTCCCTGGAGCTGTTTCAAATCTTGTATTTGACAAACTAGGATGGATTACTAATTCTCAGTAAAGCAAGGCCTCCAAATGAACCAAAGATACCTGACATTTAGATATTTCTAAGACTATTCATTATTAGGGCAGAAGTACAGTGAAATAATTAAACTTTTCATAAAACATAACACAGTATTTTGGGTATTCCTCACTAACACTTAGTTAACTCTGTACCTTAATATTCTGTGCCATCTAACACAACGTGCTATCAGCAAGGTTCAAAAAAAATTAAGAAAACAGCAATAATTACTGCATCTGTTTGTATGTAATGATGATCTCATTAGCAAGACGTATGCCAGTTCCTGGATATTTCATGTTCCAGGATTACAGGATATAGAATAAAGAAGTAAAACACCTCCAACTCTGATGAGACAACAGCCACCCTAATTCCTCTGCCACTCTCTGAAGTACACCTCTATTTATGGAAGTATTGGTCCAGGAACCTAGAGGCAGGTCTGTGTGTGACTTTATTTTATTTTTTTTCCAATTGCATTAAATTGCAGTGTTTCTGTAGGGCAAAAGACATAGCTAGCAGGATAAATAGAAAGCCCACAGACTGGAAGATGATCTTTATTGGCTATACATCAGACAAAGGCCTCATACCTAAAATATGCATAGAGCTCAAAAAATTAAGCCCCCCCACCAAAGAAAAAATCCTTAAAGAAACAACCACCTCATTAGTAAATGGGCTAAAGACTTCTCTGAAGAAGAAATAAGAATGGCCAATAGACCATGGCTAATGAAGAAATGTTCAACAACTCTTGCCATAAAAGAAATGTAAATCAAAACAGCATTGAGATCCTACCTCACACCATTTAGAATGCCATTATCAAGCAAACTAATAACAGATGCTGGTGGGGATGTGACCAAAAGGGAATGCTACTACATTGCTGGTGGGAGTGTAAACTTGTTCAGCCATTCTGAAAAGCAGTATAGAGGTTCCTCAAAAGACTAAACACAGGGCTGGGAAGATGGCTCAGTGGTAGAGTGCTTGTCTGGCATGCATAAGGCCCTGGTTTTGATTCCTTAGTAACACATAAACAGAAAAAGCCAGAAGTGGTGCTGTGGCTCAAGTGGTAGAGCACTAGGCCTTGAGCTGAAGAGCTGAGGGACAGCACCCAGGCCCATAGTTCAGGCGGCATGCCTGGCCAAAAAAAAAAAAAAAGACTAAACATAGAGGTTCCCTATTACCCAGCAATCCCCATCATTTACCCAAATAACCACAAACAAGGCTACCCTAAAGCAACCAGCACAACCATGCTATTGCAGCATTATTTACCACAGCTAAGATATGGAATCAACCCAGATGCTCCTCAGTAGATGAATGGATCAAGAAAATGTCACACACACACACACACACACACACACACACACACAAAATGGAATGCTATGCTTCCATAAGAAAGAATGACAAGGGGAGATGGGGAGTGGGAGAAAATGAATGGAGGGGGTAACATTGTTCTAAAAGAAATGTACTCATTACTAATGTAACTGTAACCCTTCTGTATATCTGCTTTACAATAAAATTAAAATTTTTCCCCCCAAGGTAAGAGTTTTGCTGCATTGTCTACAGCCTTGAATTCACAACTCTCCCAAATTTTCAGTCTTCCAAGTGCTTTAGATTACAAGTATGCCTGAATCTGGCTTGATTTGATATTTAACATAAAGTTTAGAACACAACTAGGACACAGAGTGCTGATCATTTTTTCTTAGATTCTGGATCAAAAGCTATAAAGAACATTTTGGAGATATCTGATAAAAACCTGGACCAGATATATCTATCTATCTATCTATATAATACACATATATATATAGATAGATAGATAGATAGATAATATGGCCTAAATATTAAAATTTTTCAATGTGACAATATATTATGACTTTATATTATATATATTATGACTATATATATGACTTTTCATTCTTAGAGATATGAAGTAGGAATGAATGAAATGTCTTGTCACTTTCAAATGGCTCAGTAAAAAATTATTCATTATCTGTATGTGTAGAGATGCCATAAAACAATTAAGATATGGGAAATGAAGGTGAAGAGTATTTGTATATTAATATTTCAACTGATCAATAGGTTTGAAAATTTTCAAATTTAACATTCTAGGGAGAGGGGAAATTCTTTCATGATAATCTCTTATTTTTGGCTCCTTATATGTAAGTAATCTGTGTTTCATCACCTTTGGGAAAATTCCAACTATTGGTCTGATTTTCCTCACCAGACTACAGGCTCTGAGGTTCTACAAAAGCCCTGACATTTAATATGGACTTCTCATGTAGGAATGGCTAGTAAGAAGCCTATAAAACCATCTACCTAATAGGGAGGCAAAGATGCAACTGACCTTTTTTTGTACTAAGCATTAAGCCAGGCATTATACTTACAAGTTCATTCTGGCAAGTAACTTTAAAAAAAAAACCAAAACATTCTTACATGTAAATATAATATCCCAATGTTACAAGGTCAGTTTGTCTTTAGAGTACTTTTTTGCTTTACACCATGCTACCTTTGCTTATTAGTTATATGCAAATCATTTAAATGCTAAGTCAGTGCTACATTTGCTTGTTTTACAATATTTTAGAAAACATAAAATTTACTTAAGCAAACAGTAAACAAACAGGCATTATGAGTAAATAGCTTATACTGTCCTGTTAACTTATTATCTTTCTAGCTTGTCAATATGTCTCTAATCCTTAGCTGACTGAAGAACAAAAAAAGAGAGGTCTCTGAGAAATACAAGTCTAAACTTAGGAATTTCAGCAATTTTGGCAGAGGAGCTAGGTTTATAACTTTTACTGCCTCCAACACACTGAAAATCCACAATGAAATCAGAAGACCCTAGTTACATTAAGATCATACAGGTTATAGGCTTTTGGGTATTTACCGTTTAAGGAAAACCTAAAAGAATGATTCTAGTCAATTAACACATATTAAAACATACAATAGTTTAACAATCAATCAAAATATATTTTCCCTATTTGCTTTTGAAACTTAATTGAACATTTTTAATCTATTGTATCATTTCAAATGAAATAGATTATACAAATGGAAATGAAACTAACTACCATAAAATTTCACCTCCCCCCCCCGTAAACAAAAACATACATACATATATAGCAAGGCAAACTTCAGGCTAAGAAGGCAAGCAATCAGCTATATTACACTCAGAACTTCAAGCTACTACTAACTTCATTTTCAGACTTGATAGGATAGAAATTGTAATACTATATTCATTTTTTTTTTTTGCTTTATAAATGTAATTTCCTTGTTCTATTAGATTAGTTTCAAGTCACATGCTTTTCGGAACCATGCAGTACAAAAACATTTAAAGGCATATACTCAAAAATTTATAGTAGTTTCACAAATTCTAAGCTACAATTTTATTCCCCATATTAACTATTAACATCTCATTAACATAGAGATAAGCTCACAGATTTCATATCTAATCTTTGGTTGCAATTGTTCCATCTGTTATCTAGCCCCCTAAGAAATAAAACAACAACAACGACAACACTTTGAGGTCTCAATCCACTTTACGAAAAGAAAGCTTTATGAAAAGCCTGAACAATGAATTTTAAACATTAAGGAGAAAATGAGAAACGTTAGGTGTGTGAAGTAGGAAATGTTAATTTCATGCACTTAGGAACACACACTCACACCCCACAGTAGTAGAAGCAGTAGAAGAGGAAAACACTACATGTGTAGGGGTAGAAATATTTGTTACATCATGATGCTGGCTGGCGATGGAGGGTTGCCGCCTTAGAGCCCCCTGAATGGAACTTCCACTCTGGAAAGCATTCACTACATCCATCTGCAAGGAATCAGAGATTGTGACAGCTTGCTCAGCAAGAGAGAGAGAGAACAAGAGAAAGGACCATTCCATCTATCAACATATAAAAAGTAAAGGAAAAGGCACTTTTTTTTTTTTTTTTAACAGAGCAGATTAATAGGCAAGAGTAGCATTTTGAGATGAAGGGGGAAAAAACACACTAGGAAAAAGGAACTTAGGGGCATATAAGACACATTCTTTCATAATCAGTTAAAAGTTTCACTCAGTCAAGCCACCAGTAGTATATTTCAAAAGAATACATTTTGTGGGTTGGGAAGGCTAGAAAGGAAGTTAAGGAGCACAGAGAAACCTCCTCCCCAGGTCAAAAAGCCCTTGTTCCCATCATCTTTCCTACCTCTCTACCAGGCCCATACCTGTGTCTGGATTCTGTTCAGACCTCTAAACCACAAGATCTGGCCACGTCGCAACTCCCTCTCGGCATGATCAATCTCCTCAACATCCTCTGCTAATTCCTCCTCAGGTATTTCTTCCTTTTGTGTTCCATGACCAGCTTCTTTTAGAAATTTTAAGCGACTAGTTGGAATTGTTGAAATAAGCTATAACACAGGGGAAAGAACTTAGAAGTAAGTTACATCAATTACAGCCAAACGGATCAACTTTATAAAAGGGTTAAAAGCTGGAAAATTATGACTTTACCAATGAAGCAATGAGAATCTGCTGATCAGATTTCTCTTCCAGAACAACAAATAATTCTTCCCTTAGTAACACAAAAGATTTAAGTTTGAAATATAGAAAGTTTTCTTAAATAGGAATTAGCCTAATTATATGCTTCCATATTTTAATTCACAATAGCAAACTATACAAACATGATTTAATATACACATATTTAAATTCCTATTAGTTATATTTATTTCAAATGAAAATCATCAAAGTTATACTGAGAAGTTTTATTAAATACACTTATTTTTACTTAAAGCTGAATTAATGGTGATTGATAATAACACCAAATAGTAACAGATATCTTAGAAAGCATAAAGGATATAAAATAAAACCACCAAAAGATATGAATTAGCTTATAAATATTAAAGTCATCCTCCCTCTGGAAGTAGAGTTTATCATGAGAAAAACAAGCACACAGTCAGACACAGAGTAGCTTGGAGAGGTTATAGTCAAATATCTCATATCACAAAAGTCAAATTGGTTTAGATATATGAAGTGACTTGTCCATGGAATGTTTTAAGACTCCAGGTTTCCTAGCCACAAAGCCAGTGTTCCTTCTACCACTGCACACTTAAATTCAATGAAGAATGTCAACATAAGCTTGCTACTGTGTGATTATGTATGTTGTATTCCATTTCCTCTTCTTGAAATTGGCCAGAATTTTTGGAGGGTATGTTCTGCCTACCAGAGAACATTATGAAATAATGGTTAAAAAAAAAAAAAAAAAAAAAAAAAAGAATGTGAATCAAGTAGGGATCTTCCTTCTAAGAAATTATCTGATAAGTAAGGAAAGCTTAGAACCTAGAAACACAATAAACAAGAAGATAAGACAAAAAGGAATGAAAAATGAGCTAAATTTAAGTAAAATGTGAAAGTCTAGCTTGCCTTGGAAAATGACAAATTCTCATGCACAAGTCATATAGCATGCTAACATGCATTTACCCAAACCTTAGCATAGATTTTTAGTCAGCTAGTTTTATAGTAAGAATAATGAGTTTCAACTAAACATTGTACAGGTCATTATAACTTATTTTTAAAAACAATGTCATGCATTTCCAAGAAAGTTGATGTGCATCTTGTTTTCCAGGAATTATAATATATACATGTTTATATACTCCTAAAGTTATTCAATCCAAGTACCCTAAAACACCACTCTATTTTTCAGATGCTATTATTTTTATTGAAGTTTTATAGGCAAAAGCTAAACATTTTTACTATGCTACATTTCAGATATAATTGCATAGCAAAATAAAGTGAATATAATCTAGTTTCATAACTTTATTCTGATAACATGAAAGTAGATCATAAATATATAAATTAACATTTTAACCAGTTGTAAATACAACCTATCTGTTGTAAGATTTGTTCTAAAAATAAGTTAAAAATAAACATAAGCATAGAAATAAGTATCCTGAAATAAATATTATATAATATTTGTTTGAATAAAATACAATGAATAAATAGAATAAAAAACCCCAAGGCATATCCTTAACAATTCTCTTACCTGACCCAAATGATTATGTAGAATTAAGTAGCAGAATTTAAATATACTGAAGAATGTTTTTAAAAAATTATTTTATACTTGAGCAAAAATGATGAAATATTTTTTACCTGGCCCCAGAGTAATGTTCCCATTCCTAGGAATATTGACCATAGCCATTGTTCTATTGAAAGTTCTGAACAACTGAAAGGTTTTCCACCAAACTGCACAATTATTATCTGGAGGAATAATCAATAGTAAGTTCATTGTAATTGTTTACTTTAAAAAATTCATGCTCTAAAATAAACTAAATTTATGTCCTCTAAAACTCAAGTTTACAACCACTGTTTTAACAGTCATAGCTAAAAACAGTCAAAGCTAAAACAATTAAAATATCTGCCCCAAATTTAAAATTTATGCTTATTAAAAATTTAAAAAATTCACATAACCAAGAGTAACTTTATACTTTTTCCAATGTAAGCCCATGTAACTACATTCCCTGATATTTTAATTCTTTAAATAACTCATGACTTTCACAAAAGATAATATGCTTTTTTGGAAAAGATCTTACTCCACGGAAAAGAGGACAAATGCAATCTACACAGCATTCATTCCTAGTTAACGTTTCAATGTTAGGATGACTATGAATGGACTGGAAGAGAAGAAAAGTGACCTGCAAAGTTCTATGAGTGTGGGCGAACTGAAGTGGCATGTTCTCAGTTGTCCAATGATATAAGTAAAATTCATATGCATATTCATAAGCATATTCATATGCTTATGCATCCTTACTTATTCTATGTGTCCTAAAACAGCATACATAGGAATATTAAGCATTAGATAACAGAACATTCCTTTCTTATAAGTCTAACAGTTCTCTTTGATATAGTTGTTAAATACTACCAAACATTGAAATTATAAAGAAGAATTTTGGTAGTTAACAGGATCATTTTTAAAATAGTCTATAAAATATTACAAATCTTACTTCTGTATTTATTAATTCTGTGTTTTGGTGTCAAGATTTGTATTCTTGTACAGAATACATTCAGTCAGATTATAGTTGACTTGACAATCAAGTCTGGATTTTAATAAAGATATATAAATCAATGATTATGAAACTGGCTAATTTAATTTTATAAAAAATAATCTTTTGATATACAAAGCCCCAAATCCAAATTAACAATAAATTTCCATCTCAAGGTACCAATTTACCAAATGTCTCCCACACAATAACTAAAATTGAACCTATGCCTTCCAATCACCCACCTGTACCACAAAGGTGCCTAAAACAATTGTGCAGAAGATGGCATTATTAAAGATTCCTTCGAATACATTTCTTTCACCATGAATTTTCCGGGCATTTATTTCATTGAAAAGTTGCATCAGCACAAAGGTATTAAAAACAATAGTATAGTGTTCTGAAGGAGGAGCATGCAAAGGAGCATTTCTTCCACTATCAATATCAAAAAACTTTTCTCCTGAAATAAAAAAAATTAGTTTTGTAATTGCCATACAAAATAATTTAACACTCTTCAAAGAAATACATAATAATAAAACCTAGATTGACTATTTCATCTGGAATGACAGCACCTAGGCCCAGAGTTCAAGCCCCATGACTGACAAAAGGGGAAAAAAAAGGAAAAAAAAAAAGAGAAGAAACGGATGCCCCTCAAACTATGATAAGAGTGTAAAATCACATATCTAATTTAGTGGCAGAGCTAAGATCAAAGATCTAGACTATTTCCCCCTGAATCTACCATTCTCCCAAGTTTAGTAAGTACCTACTGAGAACACGGAGACATTTAAGAAAAATGGGCAGTCAGAAACAGAATTTAGGCTCTTGAAAACAATCATAAGACTAAAACATATTGGAAAACAGTATCTTGGAATAGGGATAATTAACTAAAAAATTTATTTTAATTTATGAAATTCTTACCAGCAAATAAGAGTGTAAAAACTACAACGAGCTGATAGAATGCATGCCCCAAAATATTCTTCATCATTGTGCGTGAGATGAGAGGCTTATTTCTACCATAAGGTTTTCGAAGCAAGAGAGACTCAGTGGGTGGTTCCGTTGCCAGAGCCAGAGAAGCGAGCGTATCCATTATGAGGTTTACCCATAGCATCTGCACAGCCTTAAGTGGTGAATCCTAGAAAAGATATGTTTCCTAATAGACATTCGCAACTATTCAGGGACTCAGCAATTCTCAGGAAGCCTTTAGAGTTTAAAAAACTTAAGGAGTATAGATTTTATGTTAACAAACTTAAAATATTAAACTTCATTTTATTTAACTATTCAAGTACTTTCAAAAGACAGTTATATAGTGTTTGAATTAAAGTAAGCAAATTTTAATAAACAAATGTCACCTACTTGAGTGATACAAGCGCCAGTAAAAGCAACAATCACTGCAACAACATTAACAGTAAGCTGGAACTGAAGGAATTTTGAGATGCTGTCATACACATTTCTTCCCCACATGACAGCTTTAACAATGCTTGTAAAGTTGTCATCTGTGAGGATAATATCAGATGCTTCTTTAGCTACGTCAGTTCCTGCAATACCCTGTTAAAAGAAATTCCGAGTTAAGACTGTTTTATATATTCAACAGGGTAATATATAGTCGGGCACCGGTGGCTCACGCCTATAATCCTAGCTACTCAAGAGGCTGAGATCTGAGGATTGCGGTTCAAAGCCAGCTTGGGCAGAAAAGTCCATGAGATTCTTATCTCCAATAAACCACTAGAAAACCAGAAGTGGCGCTGTGACACAAGAGGTAGAGTGCTCGCCTTGAGCTGAAGAGCACAGGGACAGCACCCAGGCCCAGAGTTCAAGCCCCACAACCAAAAAAAAAAAAGGTAATATACAGTGAACAAAGAAGTTTAACCATTATATTTAATAGTGATCTAATGCTTAAGAAAGGTAATATATTTAAAGTGATATTGTTTTTTGTTTTTGGCTTATAACAAAGCAAATATAAAAACACAGGAAATAAAACTGGTTGTACAACCAAGTTTTGGGAAAAAGTTTTTTTTTTTTTTTAATGTTAAAAAGTATCCTTTGAGCTGGGAAGGTGGCTCAGTGGTAGAGTGCTTGCCTTGCACGCACGTTCCATTCCTCAGCATCACATAAGGAAAAAAAGCCAAAGTGGCACCATGGCTCAAGTGGTAAAGCGCTAGCCTTGATCTGAAGAGCAGAGGGATAGAGCCTCGGCCCAGAATTCAGGCCCCACAACTGACAAAAAAAAAAAAAAAAAAAAAAAAAAAAAAAAAAAATATATATATATATATATATATTCTTTATCACTGCTAATCTTGTCAACTGTCAAAACAGCAGTAAGAAACCTATTAAATGCTCACATATAGCAGTTTGTGACCCAGCATTCCTTATATAATGATGCTACTTACCTACAGAACACAAGGAAGAACACTCAATTAACTATCTAGTATTTTAAAAATATTATTGTACATAGTTGTACAAAGGAGTGGCCATTTAACTGACGAATACAATGCATTCAGTGTTACCCAGAGTAGCCCTTCAGCTATTTCTCACAGATCAAGTCATTCTGATGCAGCTATCTATGTATCAGGGTTGGAGTTGGGTAAGAATCTTTGGGTAAGAATCATTGCCTTTGGAGGAAAATTTAACCATATAATTTTCTGTTATCATTTCTCTCACTGTTGTTGAAAGGCTGTCTTTGGTGGGTCTTCTAAATCACCAATTTAATAGCCAAATTACCAGGGAACCAAACTATGCAAATATACACTTACGTACATTGCATTCTTTCATCTGAACCTTTTATGACCAGATTGTCTCTCAGAAGTCAAAGCTATTCATATTTAGGAAAATAACAAAGTACATAGGCCCCAAACTTTCTGAATGGCGACTTTCAGATATTTAAAAATTAAAAACACATTAATATGTTTACAATAGTTAAGAATATTTACCTCAGTTCAGAATAAATTTTGCAGTCAAATGCAAAACCTTTCAGTCAAATATAAATATTGACTAGGCAGCTGATTTTAAGAAAAAAAAATCCCTCAATGTTTTACATTTTTGGATTTGGCTATTGAAAGATTTTTTATCTGTATATAAAATGGTGGCATTCAATTATTCTTTAGAAGAAGTTTTTAGTTGAGTGGAAAATTCTCAAGTTGATTTTAATTTAAATACCCACCACTATGGTTTTGAAATGACAGAAAAACTAAGGTTTAGATGAAATAATGTATTTAAGTATTGCATAGGATAAAAGGTAAATATAACATAATTTTCTGAAGAAATCTTCTAGATTTCACAGAATCAAATGAAAGTAGAACATAAAACTTTATACTTATAAATCTTTTCTTAAACTAAGCTTGGAAGACATTGCTTAAGACCAGTATTAGTCTAGTTAAAACAAACAACCTTTTTACCATATCATATCTGACAACTTGAATAAAGTAGTTCTTACCATTGCAAATCCAACGTCTGCTTTCTTTAGCGCTGGGCCATCATTCGTACCATCACCAGTTACAGCTACAACTTGGCGTTGTTCTGAGACAGTGCTGTCAATTATACCTTAAATAAAAGTAAATGCTTGTGCTGTAAAATTATTTTAAGAAGGTAACTCTGTAGAATATTCCAATTAGTAACTTTAGACTGAAGGCTAAAAATGCAATTAAATGAACATAGGAATGAAGCTTCCTTATTGAGCAAGAACCAACTCTAAAAACTAAGGTTATATTGGGAATAATATTTTAACAGCTAAAAATAAGTCCAATTCACCTAAAACATCAAAAGAAAATGTATTTAGATCCTATTGGAATACTCAGTATCTAATTTTACGAAGCAGAACACATTTCTGTTACTTAGATATTTTGAAATAATTGTAAAAATTTCTCTCACCTTTAACCAGTGTATGTTTGTCAGTAGGAGATGATCTTGCAAGTACGCGAAGCTTTGGCCAAATCTTATCTATCCGCTCTTGCTCAATCTGTAAATTTTCATCAAAGTTTAAAATAAGCCAAAATCTAGTTTCATAATTCTAAACTATGTATTTCTAAACTATGTATTTTCTAAAATACTGTATTTCTCAGTGATTCTTAAGTGTGGTTAGTAGGGCAACAGCATCAGATACTCCTGGGAACTTGTTAGAAATGCAAATTCCTGGGCATTGGGCATTTGTTTTTTTCTTTTCCTTTCTTTTTTTGTGACAAGGTCTAGCATGTAGCCTGGGGCTACGTGTAAATTTGTGATTCTCTGGATTCAGCCTCCCAAGCACTAGGATTACAAGTGTTTGTTACCACCTTCACCACCAAGCAATTTGTGTTTTAACAAGCTTTTTTAGTGACTCATATATGCTTCAAAATCTATTGTTTGATGTCATTTTAAGATCAATTTTCATGGGCTGGGAAGGTGGCTCAGTAGTAGAGCGCTAGTCTTGCATGCATGAGGCCCTGGGTTCGATTCCTCAGCACCACATAAGCAAAAAGAAAAAAAGCCAAAAGTGGCACTGTGGCTCAAATGGTAGAATGCTAGCCTTGAGCTGAAGAGCTGAGGGATAGCGCCCAGGCCCAGAGTTCAGGCCCCACGACCGGACCCCCCCCCCCCCCAAAAAAAGATCAATTTTCAAAATTTCCCCCCACTGTCTGTGAAATTGGAACTTCCTTAGTCTGAGAAGTTCTAAGAGTTTGGGGGTCTCATAAAATACGTTCCACAAGCCGGGTGCCGGTGGCTCATGTCTGTAAAATCTGAGAATCACAGTTCAAAGCCAGCCGGGGCAGGAAACTCTGAGACTCTTATTTCCAATAAACCACTAGAAGTGGTGCTGTGGCTCAAGTGGTAGAGCACTCACCTTGAACTGAGGAGTGCAGGGAAAGTGCCCAGGCCCAGAGTTCAAGCCCCAGGAACCGCCCCCCCCCCCCCCAAAAGAAAAAAGTTCCACACCAGCCTCTCCAAACACATCTTTTCTTATGTATTTTTTCTTATGTACATTGTACCTAGACTCACAGTAACTACTTTCATAAAGCATTCTAGCAAGACAAGTTCATTCTCCTTAGGACCAATTTCTTTATCACTTGTCTCTTCACCTTCCATAATCAGAAAATTTTTGCTTCCTACAGTGTTAGAAGTTATTCAAGGTGCCTAACATGGTGCTGCACATTTAATATATGCTTGTTAAATGAAATTCTTAATATACTAAAAACATATTAACTAAAAAGCTTAAAAAAACTTCTTACCTCTCCCTTTTCATTTCGTATTCTTCTGTTAAAATCTTTACCTTCTAGACACAGAAAATCTTCCCCAGGATGTAATATACCACATTTGGTCGCAATAGCTCGGGCAGTATTAATATTATCACCAGTAACCATTCGCACAGTAATTCCAGCCCTCTGACATTTCTTTATTGCATCTGGTACCTGGTTTACATAGAAAAAAAATCCTGTTACAATAGAAAACTAAAATTTCTAAAGACAAACATCCTACTGAAACAACATGTATTTCTTCATAGTCCTACAAGTAACTTTACCTCAAGGTGGCCAATATTTCTTGAATTATTCCTAGTTGCCTTTTCTTTCCAATTCCACTGGCACAGGCTTAGGTCAGGTTTTGTTTTTAGCTGGCATCAGTTAATTTGTGTGCACTACTTATTTCTTAAGGCTTTTAAAGCATCTTTCCAGCTGGCAAAAAACCACTAGGCATTTTTTTTGTGGTTTGCTGTCTAAATTTCTGATTTATTGACACTTGAGTAAAATATTAGTGCTCTTTAGACTTAAGAGTTCATATTTTTCCCCTCAATCTGTATCTTTTAAGACTTAATTCACTTAGCTCTCAGGCCATGTGTTAATGACTTTCAAATCTGTATCATTCTCTTATCTCAGAATTGTATTTATATTTCCGCCAGAGAGATGCCAGTATTTGAATGACTAAAAAAGACTTTTTTAATAATAACAGAAATTTGGAGGTCATTTGTACTTTCTCTTCCATTTTCCTGCCTCTATAAACTCTTAAGGACCAAGGATTCCTATGTTTCTATCTCAAGCCTCCCTTGTAATGTCCTTATTGCTTCCTGCAATGCCTTTTTTTCTTGTACATGTGTTTGATACTGGGGTTTGAACCCAGGGCTTTCCATCTGCCAGGCAGGGGCTCTAAAGCTTGAGCCATGCCTCCAGAACTTTTTCTCTGGTTAGTTTTGAGATAGCGTTTCACTTTCTGCTTGAGCAGGCCTGGAATGTGATCTTTCCCAACGTGATCTCTACCTCCCAAGTAGCGAAGATTACAGGCATGCCCCCACTACTAGTATCTGGCTTGAAATGCCTTTTTTTTTTGCTCAAGGCAAGCACTCTTTATCACTTCCCTGCAATGGCTTTTTAACTGGTATCTCTGCCTTCATGCTGTTCTTCCTTTATATTAGCTAATATACCTTAGGATAGTTTTGTTTCACTCATTCATTCACTTATTCATTTATCCATTTTTTTGTGGTACTGGAATTTGAACATATGCCCTTATTGATGAGCCAGACTTCTATCCCTTTTTCACATTGGTTATTTTTTAGATATTTCTGCCCTGGTGCGTACCTTGGCTCCCATCTGCTTATTTTAGATTCCCTTTCATACTTAGGAAAATAGGTGTGCACTACCACATCTAGCTCTTGGCTGAGAAGAGCTCTTGTGAACTTTTCTGTCTTGGCTGGCCTCAAACTTTTGATCCCTTAATCTCAGCATGTAAAGTAGATAGGATTGCATGTGTTGGACATTGGTACCAAGTGTGGTAGAGCTCTCTTAGTTATTTATTAAGTTATTTATTTGTGATACTTGGTATGTCTTGAACTCAGGGACTTGTGCTTGCCCAGGCAGCACTTTGTTGCTTGAGCCATACCTCCAGCCCAGCTTTCTACTGGCCATTTTTAGAGACACAGATGTTTGAACTTCAATCTTCCAAATCTCAGCTTCCAGGGTAGCTAGGATTATAGGTATGAATCACTGGTTCCTGGCTGTAGTTCTTTTTCTAACGTACCAGTATACTTTGTTTAAAATACACAGTAACTTAGTTGTTAAACACAAACCACAAAAGTTCTCAGTGTCAAAGAGTATTACAATTCAGACTCAGAATAGTTTTCAAGATTTACTAAAAACTCTTCTCTAAGGTACACAAGTTGATTGATGAATAGTCTGAATAGTGTATATAAGTTATTTGGATGTCTCTGCTACAGCAGTTTTGTTTTTTTTTGCTTGGAACATTTTTTCCTCTCCCTCTCTAACAAGATAATCCATGTTGATCCTACTAAAGCAGAGTAGCATATTCAAATGGCTACAGGCCATGCAGGTAAAACAGAAGAAAAAAAAAACATGCTGAAAAAGACAAACACAATAAATGCCTATGAAAAAGCCACTCAGCTCTGGCCTATTTATGTCATGGTACAATATTAGCTCCATGTTAATAGACTTTAAGATTATAACAGAAAAGAAGAAGGTTTCAAGTGAGAGGATTTGAGTAGTCTCTCAGTATTTAGTATTTTACTCTACCAACCTTCCTCAATTTGATGGAATGTTATATTTCTGGGGAAATACTGTTGTCACCATAGAGGTAATTTCCAAGGGTAGGGCACAATTCCAGACAGGAAAACACCTAACAACCAACAACTTACACACGTATCTAAATGTAAATATTTACATTATTACATAAGGCCCTCTACCCTACTATCTTACTGGAGGGATATTACATGCATTCATTCAAACTACTGTTTACTGAATGTTAGGCACTGTACTAGGTCCTAGTGATGGAATAGGGTGCTAAAGGATAGAGCCTGATCAAATTATACTTGATAGGAAAACATATAGAAAGTACACAAATGATTTCCGGGTCAGGGGTGCAGGGTAGGGGAGAAGTAGGGAATGGCTACCACTAAAAATGGAATTTCTTAGGTGATGAAAATGTTCTACAAATGAGCACAGTGATGGGGGTACAGGTTTTAGTGAGCATATTAATGATAAACTGTATACCTTAAATAGGCTAAGTATGTGACACTGAAGCTGTATCTCAATAAAGCTGTTTAAAAACATTTTATGGAGTACCTAATAGCCTCAAAAGACTTTTTTAAACTTAAAATTCACAAATTACCTCCACCTTAAAAGGTAAGAATGTGTAGCAAGTTTAAGTACCTCTCTGTATGAAATCAACCTGGGATTGTTCTACATATCAATTAATCAAGTGTTCCAACACTTAAAACTATATATTCTAGAATATTAAAGAAAGCTGTTTCATATTAGTCTCATTTTAGTATAAATGTATCCAATCTTATCTTGTGATACTGAAACAAGTGCTACTAACATATTTAAAAAGAGATAAATCACTATGCTAAGAGCACAATAACAGATTAACAGGTTTCCACTTGAGCCACAATGCCACCTGTTTTTTTCTGGTGGTTTACTGGAGATGAGTCTCATGGACTTTACTGCCTGGGCTGACTTTGAACCACGATCTTCAGATCTCAGCCTTTTGAGTAGCTAGGATTACAGGCAGTAGCCACTGATGCCCAGCTAGACATACTAATTTAATATTCTACTACTATGGATTTAGGCTACAAGTACTTTCCCCCATGATCGAAGGTTAGTGAATATTATGAAGTTTGGATATTCCATGGGCATTTGTAATTCCAAACCCTAAAAGATTTATTTTCATCTCTCAAAATGCAGTTTCTTCTGATTCTCTCATCATAGTGGTAATTTCTACTATTGACCAAGCTATGCAAATTAGAGAGATACTGGTTCTTTTCTTTGTAAATCTTATGTCCTGCTTCCCTGGCTACACATTCCACAAGAAAGCCCTTTGAGTTTCATTGGTAATGTCTCCGGACTAAATCTCTTTATGTCTCTTTAGGTCTAAGTCCTCACTTGACATTAGTTTGGATGTCCCAGGTCTTAATAATATAAAAAACAGAATACTCAAACCCAGAACACTGATACTTATTAGTTTACGTATATTTACTTTCATATCATCTTTTTATTTTCTTCTTCTGTGCCACAACTGTAGTCTAAGTCATGAACATATTTTTCCTAGAATGACTGTAATAATCTTACTGACTCCTCTACCCCTAATTTTATTTCTTTAATCTCTCAAATAGTACTAAAAATGGTGTGTGTGTGTGTGTGTGTGTGTGTGTAAGAGAGAGAGAGAGAGAGTTTTGGAGCTTGACTCTGGGCCTGGGTGCTGTCCCTGAGCTCTTCAGCTCAAGGCAAGTGCTCTACCACTTGAGCCACAGCACCACTTCTGGTTTTCTGAGCAGTTTATTGGAGATAAGTGTCATGGACTTTCCTGCCTGGACTGGCTTTGAACTGTAATTCTCAGATCTCAGCCTCCTGAGTAGCTAGGGTTATAGGTATGAACTCCCAGTGTCAGCTAATGGTATTTATTTATTTATTTATTTTGCCAGTCGTGGGGCCTGAACTCTGGGCTGGGCGCTGTCCCTCAGCTCTTCAGCTCAAGGCTAGCGCTCTACCACTTGAGCCACAGTGCCACTTCTGGCTTTTTTTTTTTTTTTTTGCTTATGTGGTACTGAGGAATCGAACCCAGGGCCTCATGCATGCAAGACAAGCACTCTACCACTGAGCCACCTTCCCAGCCCTAATGGTATTTATTTTTAACAACACAAATGGTGCTACTTCCTAACTCAAATCTCAGAATACAATTCAGATGCCTCAATAAGGCCACAGATCATCTCATCTCATTTTGCCCTTCTTTAAACTTAAGAGCTGGCCTCCTTTCTATGTCTAAAATAGATCAAAACTTTTTCTCACCTTCAGGCCCCGAAATTTTTGTGTTTGCCTGTGAATACTCTACTTACAGCTATTTATGTCTGGCTCATGGTGAGCCATCATATCTCAGTTCAAAGTTTTAATGTGTTCTCCCTTGATTACATTATTTCATCTGTGCAAATCCTTCAGATCTAAAGCCCTAAATACACTTATTTCACATCATACTCCTACTGCTACCATCACAGAGACCACTACCACATATGCAATTAAAAATGAAAAGCCTAAGAAAACAGGAACTAGTACTACTCCTAAGAATTTTTTGTCCACTTGTCCTACTGTTCATGACTATTCTTTTACCTATTTACCTTCTTCCAGAATATTAACTTCAAGAGTATTTATACTTCCCGCCAACATACATAAAGAATAAACTCAATGAGTTAATATACTCATGGAACAAAAGCAGCTTTTATACTTAAGATTTCACACATATATGTTGCTGCTTTAGTCAGAAAATAGTGTGTTCACTCTCTGCTATCTCCCTATTGTTCTCTTGGTTTAGCTAACACCTTCTGATCCTTTAAGATTCCAAACAGGCAATTAACCTTGATAAAGTCTTACTTGATCCTTCCAGTGGGTAATACAGGACAGTAACTTTAAGGATGTGTTTTAAGACAGAGCTTGGCTTTCTATTTTCCAGAATGCTAAACATTTCATTTTTTAGAATTTGTCATGTGAGAGTAATGTATTTCCAAGAGGTGAACACTATAAAAAAATATACTTAAAGAACTTGGCACAGTAGTATCTTGTACATAATGAAAATCCTAGAAAATGATTCCACTTCTTGAGAGGAGGCTTAGAGTGCATGTTCTCTGTTCATGTAGTATGTTTCGTGTATGTCCAATAATGTAGGTCATAATGTTTTTTGTCCTCTCACTCAAGACAGTGAATTTTCTTTTGAGGTCAGAGATAGATTCTAAGCTCTTTGTGCCTTTACTACTACTAGAATAGTGCCTAGCACATTGGTTATGTGGTTGTTCCAGTTCAAGGAATTGTGCTAGTTTATAAACAAGGAGAAGTTGTCTAACTGAACATCATAAAAAGGTACCAACACATCACAAGAATTGTTATTTTGCACATCATGGGCTCACACAAAAAATAGAAATACCACAAATACTAAGAATTTTACTAGAAAACTGGTAATAGGTAACACCTATACTTAATCTCTATACTTAAAAAAAGGATTCTGGACATGCAGAACATAGTATATTTCACTACCTCAGGTCTCACAGGATCTTCAATTCCCACAACAGCAATGCATGTAAGTCCAGTGACAATATCATTTTCATTATCCCACTCTGGTTCTGGTTCTCCTGCTGGAAAATCTCTGAACGCAAGACATATGGTTCTCAAGCCTTCTGATGCCATTGGTTCAATTACAGTTTTTACAATATCATCACGGTCCCTTGGTCTGAATACTTTGGCCTCACCATTAGCACTCAAGATTTTGAAACACCTAAAAGGAAATGTTGAATCCAAACATCAATAGTGAGGAAAAATAATGGTAAATGCCATTTGAGTGAACTGGAAGAGAAATTGTAGGATCGGATACCTAGAATTTAGGGAATTATGTATGTTCCATTCTTACAGACATAAATATCATTTTTTTCCTTTCCCTTTTACAAAACCGACAGTTCTAATTTGTATGGTTCCAAGTTCCTATAGATATTTTCTACATCTCTATATAGCATTAAAAAAAATCATTTTACAGGGCTGGGAATGTGGCTTGGTAAAGTGCTTGCCTAGCATCCATGAAGCCCTAGGTTCAATTCCTCAGTACCACATAAACAGAAAAAGCCAGAAGTGGTGCTGTGGCTCAAGTGGTAGAGTTCTGACTTTGAGCACAAAGCAGCTCAGGGACAGTGCCCAGCCCATGAGTTAAAGCTTCAGGACTGGCAAAAAAAGAAAAAAAAAAAAAGCTATTGTTAATTAATATAAGCATTCTACCACAGAGAGCAATGTCAAAATAGCGCAATGTCAAAATAGCACAATGTCAATGCAGTCAATTCCAAGTTTTCTTTTAACTGTACAGTGCAATCACACACCTTCTTATCCTCATTTTTCTTTCTTTGTTTTCTCTCTTTTTTATTTTTACCAGTTCTGGGGCTTGGACTCAGGGCCTGGGTATTGTCCTTGGGCTTCTTTTGATCAAAGCTAGCACTCTATCACTTAAGCTACAGCGCCACATCTGCCCTTTACTGTTTATGTAGTACTGAAGAATTGAACCCAGGGCTTCATGCATGCTAGGCAAGCAATCTACTACTAAGCCACATTCCCAGCCTATTCATTTTTCTTGACAATGCCACCTCTACTTGCTATTACAGAGGTACCTGTTAAGTACATATCTTGTTTTGTTTTCTAAGGCTTTCTATCACTGCTTCAAACTTTCATGCAATATAGTACGAGAACCTTCATATTACAGCATAAAAGACAGGAAATTACCTTCTCACTATCCATGTAATAGGTACCAACATTACTTTAATACTTTTGATAAGTCTAAAATTTTACCTCAGTACTTATGTTCTTTATTTTCTAGGTAATGTTAATTTCTAAATTCTATATAGCCTTCCTTTGAATATGCCTACTCTTACTATTCTAACTTGCTACCTTCTTCCAGCTAAAGCTATTGTATTAACAACTGTGTCTTCACTGGCTCCAGTCAATCTTTTTTCTTCAATCTACCTTATACCTTGATTCAAGAGTTAATTTTAATAACAGCTTTGATGATGCCACTAATATTAAAAAAAACCCAGTTGCATTACCTAGCCTATTTGTTTTAACTGTTCAGTCTCATATTTAAATTTCTAGAACAAAATGCAAATATTATTCTGGGGAGAAGGGGGTTACTATTTTCTCACTACATATTAGGCTATCGGGTCCATGGTAGACATTTTATACATATTGTTTTATTTCACTGTTATACAGTTGCTGGTTATCACCCCTTTTCCAATAGGAGAAAATGGAAGGTAAAGGAAAAAAAATCTGCCCTATATCTAAAAGGTAATTGGTTGTAGAGAAACAGTACAAATTCTGATTGATTCTGACTGAAAAAAACAAAAAAAAACAAAAAAACCTCTACTTTTACCATTGATCTGCTACCAAGCAAACCTGGGAAAAGACTGATTTCTAGCTTTTCATAATGAAATCCGGCAACCAACTATGTTGTGCAGAGATCTCTACGTGGCTGTGTGCAACAAAAGCCTCTCACTAGTCATCTATACTATACATATAATCAATTAGTCCCCTATTATGATCTGTGTATTTCCATCTCCTTTCTTCTGTTCCAAGTTCCTTCATTATGATGTTCAGACACACTAGCCAACCTTAAACGCTGCATCTCTCATCTTAAAACTCTATCCACTTACCACATTCTGCTTTTTGGTTATTTATATACTTGTCTCTTAAGCTTGTTAAGAGTACAATCTGCCAAGTGTCATTAAGAAAATACCAGTTTATAAGTGAATTAAAAGAAGAAAAATTTTAAATGTTGTAATATCAACTAAGTTCCAATTTTCAAAAACTGTCTTTAATTTTTATTAAAGTTTTTAATGAGAATTAAAAAATAAACTAATTCCAATACCTGTAATAATGGGGTAATAGTAGTGAAATTATGTATAAAAACTGAAGCTACTCATCAGTAAAGAGACAGTAAACAATCAGGACTACTATATAAAATATAAAATAACAGAAGATATTTCTTTGTGTTTTGCACTTAGGACCTGGGTGTTATCTTTTGTTCAAGGCTAGTGCTCTATCACAGTTCTACTTTACGGTTTTTTAGTAGTTTACTGGTGATAAAGAGGCTCATGAACTTTCCTGTCTGGGCTGGCTTTGAATTGCCTCCTCAGGAGCTTGCATGACAGGTGTGAGCCACCAGTGCCTGATGACAGAAGTTATTTAAAAATGACTTCAACAGAATAAATATGATAAACTTCATTTTGATATAAAAAGTGAATTTTCAAGATCTTATAAAACAATTTCAATGGGTATAAAACTAAATATGGAAATTTACTTTATTAAATCCACCAAACAGAATATAATAAGCTTATTTTCATTACAGCAGATGGTAAGAAATAAGAGAAGCTACGTTGAGAAAATAGTAGAACTCAATGGCTAAATATCTAGATAGCATAAAATATGCAAAAAAGTTCTGAGGTCCTCTGCAATATAGGATGCTCATAAAAAGAAAACAACAATAAAAACACAGACAGTATTCTGTAAAGCAAAGATAGCCAAGTTATTCATCTAAGTACTTTACTCTTACTTTTTCAGAATTATCTCAGATGCACCCTTGCTGAATATCCGATAACTTCCATCTGAATTTTTTAGGACAGTACTCATGGACTTCCTAACAGAATTGAAGGTGTAGACTTTGTACAATGCTTCTTCTGGTATTTCATTTCTAACATCCTGATAATCCCGTTTTAAATCCAAAAGAAATCCCAACAAGGCACATTCAGTTTTATTACCAACATGACGAGGCAATCCACCCTCTTTCTCTGGTGGCTGTAAAAGAAAAAGGATTAGAGGCTCACGTCATCTTTACTATGGAAGCTTATAGTGTAAAAAATATTAACATTCAAAAACAAAAAAGTTATAGAAAATGTCTACTAAAGTATTTAAAAAAGTGGCACAAAAAGGTAGATGAAAAATTGCATGTGTGCCAGTCTCAGACCTGTGATTAACTAGTTATGTAAACAGGTAAATTACCAAATGATTGTTGTCACTGGCTTAAGCATCTGTAAAATAGGTGCACAAAGGACTACAAAATTAAATGATGGAAGATCAACACAATTTATAATTGGTTCTGATACATAATGAGTCCCTGATTTCAATTCAATTTTTTTCTTTACTTGTTTTTGCTGAACATTCATATATGAATATTCAAGATAAAATCTACTAATTTTTACACAAAATAAATTGTGGCCTTAACTGTATTAAAAGGCTTTATTTTCTTCATAGTGCTGTCACAAAAATTAAGTCCTTATAAAATCATACTAACAGTATTAAGTGGTTATGATTGTCTTTGTAATTAAAGAAAGGTTAACAGCTCAGAAATTTCAGGTAGTAAAAGGCAAAACGAAATCTAGAACCAGTATCTTATGTAGTTCATTCATCTACTTTGTGTAGGTTTTCATTAAATAACTGGCAATATTATTTTTGTTCATGATTTTCATATAGATTATTAGAAGTTATAAAACAAAAAAAATTTTATGCTCTCTTAAGATTTTTAAAATTGCAAAGTTGAATTTTATCCCAAGGTACATAAGTCTATACTTTCTAAAAAAGGTCTAAGGACAACTTTATAGTTGAGAACAACTTAAGAACCCTACAAAGCACACAGCAAGTATTTGTTAAACATTAATTTAGGGTTGAAATCTAGTTTCATTATTTTCTCTAGAAAAATCAGAGTTGACTTTCTATTAGAAGATACCTTGGTCTTTTCTTTAAAAAAAAAATGAGCTAATAAATAATTTAAAATTGAGAATAGAGTGGCTGAGTATACTTCTCAGGTGAATACCTGCCTACCATGCATGAGTTCAATCCCCAGAACAACAAAAATAAAAGAGAAATAAAACAAAATAAAAACATATGTTCTGGTTATAAAGCTTGCAAGTTTCTAAGCAATAGAATTAAAAATAAAAAGATGCAAATAAAATGTTTTTATCAAGGGGAACTTACTCATAATAAAATATATCAAAAGAATCTTGTAAATCTTACATAGATGTATGTCTTTTTAAAACTAACAGAATTCACTTTAACTTATACATAGCAATAATAGATCTGATTACATACAGCCTAATCTTACAAATCTAGGCATGGCTCAAGCGTTAGAACACCTGCCTAGCAAACATAAGGCCCTGAGCTTCACACCTCAGTGCCACTGAAACAAAATTAATATTCATGTATATAAATTATTTTTTAAAAACCTTACCAATATTTTTGATGTATAAGCACAATTCACAGAAATTCCTGTTACTAGATAGGACAAAATATTTGGTGGAATAGCTTCTGGTTCAGGAACCTTTTTATAATGCTTTTCATTTATGTAAGCTTGAACAACTGTCATTCTGTTCATTGTTAATGTTCCTGTTTTATCTGAACAAATAGCTGTAGCATTTCCCATGGTTTCACAAGCATCCAGATGCCTTACTAAGTTATTGTCTTTCATCATTTTCTAGTGGCAAAAGAAAAGTGGAGTTAAGCTACATATAAAACAAATTACCTCATTATATTAAAATGATAAAAATCAGAATTAAACTTTGCTTTATATATAGTATAAGAAGTACAAATTTGATGTTGAAGTTAGCACCTTTGACCTATTCAGATTCTCCATAGATCTCTAAGAAAAAAAGTAATTTTCATCCTTAGGATAAAAATGGGCTTTTCGGTATCTGATGCTTGCTTTTACTCATTGTCTGGAACTCTACAACCAGAGCTACACCTTCAACCCCCCAAAAGCTGGTTCTTTCTTTTTTTAAAAATTGTCTTGATACTTTAATTTATGACTTAAAAAAATAGGTTTCTTAGAAATCAAGAGTTTCGCAATAGTCCCCAAAGGCATTTAAATTAAAATAATTTATAATGAATTCTCAACACCTATGTACAATGGGTTAAAAACTACACTGAATTGTTCATAAAGCTTCCCCCCACACCCCATGACTAATATTTAAGATCCTTCAAAAACAAATACACAACAGGGGAATATGTACTTTGAAAACTACTTGTAACATACATATAAAAAATAATAAATCCTTAAGTAAAGGAAACAGGCTGTTTAATTTTTATAAAACACTAACATCCAACTACATAGACTGCAGTAAGAAGAACAGTATTGGTAATATTAGGATTAGGATTAAATAAACATTTAAGAAAAGCTAAAAGAATCGTTAAGCTATGCTCTTATTTAAGGATCACATCAATCAACCTACATCATTCTGGTCAATTAAAAATTAATATTAACATCTATTCACAATGAACTAATGACAGTATTGGTAAAATGACTGATCGATGTGTTTAAAATCTGTATTTATCTTAAATGTTTCTAATTGTTTTTAAGCTATCAAAAATTAGATAGCTTATTTTATGATCATTACATACATTTTTGATATTTTATGATACATTTTATTTTTGAAATAAAAGTTCTTAGATTCCTTAAAAGAAAATAAACTCAAATACTGTACAAAACATATTCTTATAATGACAGTCTTATTGCAAAATACTTTAGAATACTGAAGACAAAGGTGCTAGGGCAGAAGCTACGACTAATTATATTTTTTCATTGTCAGCAATGTTATTTAAGGAGAAATGCTAACTAACATTTCAAAGTTTATGAAAGTAGCATTCAGTAATATGTATAATTTTTTTTAACCTGCACAACAATTTTGAAAGAAAGACTGCACCTGGCATTTTTGAATATCAGAAAGGCTAGAGAGGCTGGGCCAAAAAGAGTGGAATTGAGGAGCGCTGAGGTAAATAAGCAAGACCAGACTGGGCAAGGCTCTGCTGGCCATGGAAGGAAGTTAACAGAGATTTACACAGGAAATCATATAATCTGAATTATTTTTTGGAAATGTGATTTGGCACACATATACGAAAAACAGATTGTGGGGCAATTGTGGGAATGCCAGGAGACGTCAGAAGGTTGGACCCAAGTCAAATCTCTTTGCTCTTATACTGTAAGTTAAAAGGTAAACACTCTTATCTTACTTTTACAGGTGAAAAGGAGGAGGTGACAAGACTTGGAAATATAACTATCAAATAATGGAAATCAGGCTAGATTACTGCCTAGCAATGTTGTGTTTGTCACTGTCAAGGCTACGCTCTCAAAAGGAACAAGTCTTTATATACCAAAACGTTTAACCGAGAGTAAGTAGGAACAGGGAACCAATAATTGTATTTCTGAAGAGTGTATAATTTTAGAAGCCTATTTTCAAAAGTGGAAAAGGAGTAACTGGATGTATATTTTAAACACAAACTGAGGTTTTAAACATACGACATACAAGAGCTATTTAAATATTTCTTACTAACCTTCACTGAGTAAGCCAGTGAGATAGTAACTGCCAGTGGAAGACCTTCTGGCACTGCAACCACTAACACTGTAACTCCAATAATGAAGAACTTCACAAAATATTGTATATAGATTGGTGTACACTCAGCAAGCCATGGTCTCTTCTGAACCCAGAAGGTATCGATGACAAAATATAATACTAGAATGATAACTGTGATGGCAGACATCAACAGACCTTCAGGATAGAAAAAAGGAAAAAGCAATTATTTCAATATTCTAAACCCTATTCGTTGTCAGTTAACAATATTACACTGTAAAGAATTTTATAACTAGCTTTCTCTGAGAAGCCCTTTTCTCCTTTTTGTACTAACTAATCACTGGATACTGCTAGACTTAACTTTTGCTTCCAGATACAGCTCTGACTCAGGACAATTAGAAGAAAGGCATTTATCACTCTTAATTTTATCTTCTGCCTTCTATCAAGAATAAAACAATAGATAATAAAAGAGAATACTAAAACCTTAGCATAATATGTTACTTTACATGTTCAACATGCAACTTGTCTGACACTGAAAGAGAATCCAGTAAAAACTGGATCAACTGAGAGGCATGAAATTAAATATTCAACTCTACATGTAAAACAGATACAATATACACAAAAAATTATACTATCTGAATTATTTCTTAGTTTATTTTTGTACTATCCTTACTGCTTCATTAACTTAGGAAAACAAATGTTATCTACGCATTAAAAAACACTTAACTACATCATGAAGTATTTAGCGTCTTAAAAATATACATTAAAAAAATAAAGCAAGTCTATACAGCTGGGACTTACAAAGCAAATCCAAAGACTACTAATGCCATCACCAGAAGTCCACTGTTTCCTCCAATACTAGAAGAGTCACTACTACAATTTAGTTACATAACATAAAAGCAAAATAATGGGGTTTTAAAGAATAAGCTTATTGAGGATAGAAGCAAAACCTTCACTTTTCCAAAATATTCCTGGAAATAGCAGAATGATACAATTTAAGTAATGCATACTGATTTATCCACACAGTGTTGTTTTGAAATGGTGATAATGCTTGGGGCATCCTCTGCTTTTTATGTATGAGCCCTAATTTTTCTTCTAAAGAATGGTTCTATGAGCAGGTGTTTTCTAGCAAAGTCAGTGATTTGTAACTTCAGCCTCACAGGTCTTTTCAAACAAACTATATTTAGAAAAATACATTTTTTTCCATAGATAGCCAGTAACATAACGAGCAATATGTGTGGTGGGTAATCTGTAATGAATTAACTTTATAGCAAGCCCTCTCTTTTTACTGCCCACAGAAATTCAGAAAAATTTAGAGATCCATACATAGGTTTGTAAATTGGGCATATTCAGGCACTGATTCTGACTGCTTATTAACTAGCTAACTAGTTGATAATGCCCCCTAAGCTGCCATATTATGGATATCTAAAAGACTCTTAACTACACTGTGAATAAAAACAAGAAAATATTTCTAACTTTATGTTAAAATAAATTTTAACTCTGCCAATAGACATTTTTAGAGCAAAAAATGCACATATATTTTGAAAACAAAAAAAAAAAACTACCTTATTTTCCTCTACATATCATACCTGCTTTGCCGATCTGAACAGCTAGTTTTGTAAGTTTTCCTTGTAAAACAGATTTTTCCTTTTTTGGCAAATTTGCTTTCTTTTTGTCTTTTTCATCACCATCTCCACCTTCTTCACTCTTTAAAGGCTGCATTTCCATGGCTGCACCATCCTGGGCTTTTGCTACATTTAAGACCAAATATAATTTTACTGCATTTTAAAGGCACTATTCATTATTAACAATTAAAAAAATCAATTTCTTTTTCTTTTTTTTTTCAGAGGAAACCTCAAGTCTTTATTTACAGTAACTCACTCTTGATTTGAACAAATGCTAATAATTTTGGTTGTTTCTTAGTCTGGCTCTAATACATCAGAAAAGAACGAATGAGTAAGGACCAGGCTTAAGTGAGAGGTTAACTAAGGGATAAAACTGATAGCTTAGACTTAACAACAACAATAACAAAAAGAGCCACAACACTTAGTGTGTTGCTGGTCAAGAAGAAAAACACAGTAATTTTGCATATGGAAAAGTAAAACTATATATATTCTATCCAAGAAACAGGAATGTATTCAACAGATTTTGGAAGATTTCTTGAGAAAACTTTAAAAAAATCAATTTCTTATAGAAAATGGAAAAAATCTCAGCATCCACTCTTCCTCTATCCCACCCATAAGCTGTGTATGTTTACACAGAGGGAAAAAAACAATAGTGATATTAGCCTGTGAAACTGTACCAGCTGTGAGGATGTCAATTAGGTGATGGTGATAAAACATAAGATCCTTAAACTGAGAACTCAGGAATTCTAATTTCTTTCCCTCTATGTTATATTAGGTAATACCCAAAGCCTATAAATTCCTATCATTTAATTTATGACTATACTGTACAGAATTATGTATCTGTCTGGAGAAATTTGCATATATTTAAATACTTAAACGCAAATAATATTTATACCTTAAACTTTCATATGCACTTTTGTTACCAACTATGTAGTAGATAACATTTAAAGTATGTTACAATATTTGAAATGCTTAAGTGAAAGCTACCTACTACAGCTAAACTTAATTATCAACAAACCATAATTAAAATATTCTCAATATTGTACAGATATAGCATGACTAAGGTCCTGGAAAGAAAGGTTAATTCAAGTTTGTAACATTGTTGATGTTCTCTGCCATGTGTATCCTAATTTTGGACAGATACAGTACATAATATGTCTATTTCTGGACATAATGAAAACAATGTAACTATACTTTTATTGTCCTGAATTTACCTTTGTTGCGATTCTCAATGGCTCCATCCTGCTTCTTATCTGTAGGAACAAAATGGGAATTAAAGCTTTCCAAAAGAAATGAATACAGCCATGCTAAATTATGCAAAGGAGGCTCACATTTCTATAAGAGAATTGTTGAATAATGGCTATACATCTCTGTGTGTGTTTCTGTGTGTGTGTGTGTGTGTGTGTGTGTGTGTGTGTGTGTGTGTGTTATGATGTATATCAATAGACCAGAAAACATTTGGCTTTTAATAAATTGCTACATCAACAACTCCCTAAATCCTACTGTGGAAGAATACTCTAAAATTACTTAATGCATCTATACTTGACTTTTCCATTAAGATTTTAACTCTTTTACAAGTTGCAGAAAATCCAAATATGGTATAAGAAAATAAAAATTTCAAACTACAGACATACCATAATAAAGGAGAAAAGGACAGAGAGAAAGAGAGGAGGGGAATGTTAATAAAAATATAACAGGAATATAGAAGAACTTTGGTGGGGGTGAGAACAAAGAGCATATACAAGACAGGAGAGTCAAGTTACAAAAAATAGAATACAAATGTATTGAAGAAGCCAGCCAATGTAATTCCCCCAGCTAGCTTAGAACACAGTAAGGTAAGATGTCTGAAGCCATAATCAAGGAAGTAGAGTGCTGATTGGAGTAGGAAATATATTAAATATGATAGAAGAAGCAGAATAAATCAGCTTAGTTTTTTTCTGCCATCTCTAATCAAAGAGGACCATCTTCAAACTGGAAAACATGGAACAAGAAGAGCCAGGAAGGAACAGAAGCTCTGGACAGATGAAGAGATAGTAAGAGAATACTTAGCTACTTTCAATGAGCTCAAATTTGGAGACCAGTAGCATTCAAGGCTACTGAAGGAATGGAGACAGATTACCCTGGACTGAATTTAGTAGTTGCCAAAGCAATCAAAAGGATGAGTCTCTAAGTATACAGAAAGAAAAATATCAATCTATCTTATAAGAAAAAAAAAAGGAAAAACAAAACTAGGTAAGTAAACAAAAAGAAAAACAATGATTAGATGTTAATTCCTCCAAATATTCATATTCTGGACTGGATGAACAAAAAGTTATATAAGACCTTATGGGGGAAAAAAAGGTGCTTACTGGAAAACGCTGGTGTCAATAAGAATAATATTATGATAAAAACTTCTTCTTTTTTTTTTTTAGCCAGTCATGGTGCCTGAACTCTGGGCCTGGGTGCTGTCCCTCAGCTCTTCAGCTCAAAGCTAGTGCTCTACCACTTGAGCCACAGCACCACTTCCAGCTTTTTCTGCTTATGTGGTGCTGAGGAATCGAACCCAGGGCCTCATGCATGCAAGGCAAGCACTCTACCACTGAGCCACCTTCCCAGCCCCAAAACGTCTTCTTTTTAATAGGGTCCAATGGCTTCTGATTTCTGAATATTAGGACAGTGTCTTTTCCTGAACTAGGAAATAAACCCAGAACTTTGTATATGCCAGGCAAGTGCTTTACTACTGAGCTATACCTTCAATCCCAAGAGCTTTCCAAGTATATTTTTTTGTTTAAAATAATTTTATAGCTAAAGATAAAATGCAAAGAAAACATAATCAAACCAAATATTAATAACTGCTGCAGAGCTGGAGGTGTAGCTCAGTGACAGAGCATTTGCCTAGCATGTATGAAGATCTAGCATCGATCCAGAGTACCACAATACTACACACCTCTCAAAAGCAAAGGAAACAAACCAAACCAAAAGAAAATAAAAATTACAGAAGAAAAAAAACTCTACTGTGGTATCTCCCCCAACCAAAAGACTACTGTTAACTCCTTGTGTGTGACACAGTTTATTATAGGACAAACATAAAGCATAAAAGTGAAGTCACAGACAAACTATGCAAGTACAGAATGGTAGAAAACTTAAAAAAGATAAAAAACTCAGAGACCAAACTAACATAGCTGATAAAAACAGTTAATACTGAATAGCAAGGGAAAACAAAATAAACAAAAGCCATGGTATAAAGACAATAAAGCCAAATCAAAACATTTAGTAGGTAGTCAATCAGTCTCAAGCTATGTAAAAGGAGATTGGTGTATTTGCCAAAGGCCTTTAATGGACTACTAAAAGAACAATTTTCTTTCCTTTAATATTACTACTTGAAAGAGTAACACTTGGTAATTAATTTTTTGTGGATTTTTTTTTTTGGAGGGGGGGGTCTGGTCATGGGGCCTAAACTCTGGGCCTGGGCATTGTCCCTCAGCTCTTCAGCTCAAGGCTAGCACTCTACCACTTGAGCCACAGCACCACTTCTGGCTTTTTTCTTTTTGCTTATGTGGTGCTGAGGAATCGAACCCAGGGCCTCTGGCATGCAAGGCAAGCGCTCTACCACTGAGCCACCTTCCCCAGCCACTGTGGAATTTTTCACATCAGATTCTCATGTACATTTTAAGATATACTTGCTCTACTTTAAATGTCAAATTGATAGTCTTACTTTTCTTTTCTTTTTTCTTCTCATCTTTCTTCTCTTCTTCTTCACCTCCAGCTCCAAGTAAGGTAAAGATAATTCCAGTTTGAGAATTCACACCTACAGCTGTAACTACCATTCTTCCAGAGCCTTCCATTACATGAGTACCTACAACAGAGAACTTTTTCAGAAAGTTTTTAATATCCTCAAAACAAGATGTTAAATCCTAAATTCTTTTATGATATTAGAATGTTAGCAGTACAAAACAACTTCATTGTGATAAATTCTTTATATTCAGTGTACTTTGAAAAAGCTCATTCACCCTCATTATATTCCCTTCACCCTTCCCCCTTGTCAGACACTGGTGGGTTTCATTATGCTGTCTTCATATTATGAAATCTACTTCAATACTCTCCACTCTCAGTACCCTTCCCTTTTCCTTCCCCCTTTTACTAATCTCCCCTCCCCCAATCTCCCTTCTACACTCAATTCTATATCTCAATTCCTCTTATGTAAAAGAGGAATACAAATTACTTGTACTTCAAGATGTAGAAAGATATGCATTCCTCAAACAAGCCCATAAATATAAAGCACTTAGCATACTGCTTGAAATTTGTGACTTCTGAAAATGCTTATTAAGTAATAAAATGGGATGTATATTTCTCTGAGAAATGTGCTTATAATCCAATACATTCAGCAGCATAAATGTCCTGTTTTCCACACCCAACTCAAATCCACAACTTCTATCTAACCTAAGCTTTTATTCCTACCAGCCTAGATTATTGCAATAGCTTTAGAATTGTTCTCTCTTCTTTTAAAATGTAATACAGTTTAAATGTTCTAAAATGTGATTTTATTATATGCCCATCATGATTCAAAAACTCCTGATTTTATATTGGTGTACTGGGTTAAGTCCAATATCTTCACTTGAAACCAACCAACCTTTTAAACTTTCTCATCGACTACTCTTATGATGAACTTTCATTGCCTAAAGCCATGTAGCAGAGATAGGGACATGACCTGAATTCAGACAATCTTGCAAGTTGGCAGACATTACTGCTCTTATTTTCTACCAACTTGTACGTGTGTATTTCTGCATCTTTCCCCATCTTTCCTCATTATTAGGTTTTCACTCCTTTATTCCAATCTTTTGTTACTTTTAAGCAGACTTAGAAATTTAGCTTTCTCTTTTAAGATTTGGTAAAGTCCTTTTGGTCATTGTTCATCTGCATCTGGTTTTAGTTCACAACCTTCTGGAGGGAAGTACTTACAATACTTACCATCTTACATACCAAACTAATGCTCAAGGATTATTGGCGAAATATAATTATAAAACTAATGCACTTACTTTGGTATTTTAAGGATTTATATTTGACAATAAACTGCTGAATACCTTATCCAACATGAATTTATTTATTTAATTGTCTTGCTTTAAAAATTTATGTTCTGAGCTGGAAGTCAGTGGTTCACAGCTTTACTCCTAGCTACTTGTGAAGCTGAAATATGAGAATCATAGTTCAAAGCCAGACTGGGCATAAAAGCCCATGAGATTCTTATCTCCAATTAACCACCAAAAAGCCAGAAGTAGAGCTGTGGCCATAGTGGCAGAATGCTAGCCCTGAGCAAAAAAGCTCAGGGACAGTATCAGGTCCTGAGTTCAAGCCCCAGGACTGGCACAACACAGAAAAATTCTGGCTTTATGTTGATCTGAATTTTTATGTTCTGTTCTTTCTTACCACAATCTGATAAGATGTTGGTAGTTAATGTGGTCAGCAAGAAAAACAGTTTCTAGTCAGGTCATATCCTTACTACTAGTGGAAATGCCACTTTTAAAAATCTAAATTTAAGAAGCCAAGAACAGCAGACCAAGATGGCATTGTGAGAGTAAATTTAAAAATAAATGCATGTTGTGTTTTTCAGTACATTTTTGGAATAGAGAAATAGATGAAGAAAAACTTTCCCACCCGTACTGTGATAGGGGACTCTATAAAATTATTTTAGTCTTTTTTTAAATATGGAAAATTTAGAGAGTTCTCTTGGTATACTTGGTGTGCTAGGAACCAGTCAACATAAAGCTTACTAGTTATCACTGTTAAAACAGAAAAGGACCAAAGTTCAGTTAAAGGAAATCAACTTGAACAGCTAAGCACTATGTAAATACCCTAGATGTACATAAAAGTCCATTAAGTATATATATAGCAAAAGGCAAAAGAAAATTATCTCAGTTTGCCAAACATTATGGCAAAGTGAGTCTGTGGTAGGAAGGTATGATTATATATTTTCCCTCCTATTAGGAAATGATACAGTTTATTTCATTAACATGAAAAAATGAATATGTATTACTTAGGTACAATACCTTATATATCCATGGTATTTCTGCCCAATGTGTGATATGAACAAAAAGCACATCAATACAAAGAGAAACTCAAATAGAGGATGTGTATTCTAAGTGGCTAGATATTTGTATATATTTGTATATTTGTATATACAAAACTTAAGATTTTTTGGACAAATGTCTATAATTAGGTGTTTTCTTTACTTATAAATGATGTTCATAAAGGTATACATATATAATTAACTTGTATTTCTCGTAAGATTTTACAGCATATATACATTTAATTACTGTGACATTTGTAGTATCTTTTATCAGACATATGCAAAACTTAAAGAGTAATGGTTAAAATGATAGCTTCTGTTCTGAAATTATGATTAACTTAACTGAAACTTGTGATTAGATAAACAAGTTTGACTTCAGTCTCATTAAAATCACATCTGACCAATTAAGATATAAAGCTCATACAGGATGAAAGATTGCACATGCCCAGTTATTTAATAATTAAATCAGTAGGGATTCTCTGACAATGTATACAATGTGAGAATTTCATCAACAACTGGTAGTGGTAACAGGAAACATGTAATGTTTTGGCTTCTTCCAAACATTAGTAAAAATTCAGTGTAACAAATGCAGTTCTGACAATTTCACAAATTCTAAAAAGTATACCAGAAAATTAAGAGTATGAACCTTAGAAATTCTTTTTTTTTTTTTTATTGTAAAGATACTATATAGAGGGTTACAGTTACATGAGTGAGGTAATGAGTACACTTCCTCTTGAACATTGTTACCCCCTCCATTGTTTTCCCCCTACCATCCCCTCCCTCCCTCCCTTCCCCGAGGTTCTTTTTTTTTTTTTTTTGATTGTGATTAAGTGATTACATAATTTCAAAGTCACAAGTTCATTCTAACTTCCCTGGAGCAAATTGTCTACCACAGTCTGTAATATATAACAGTGTTCACATGTTATATACCATATTTGTGATCAGCAGCATGGGGATATTTAGTAGTGGTTCAACCAGATGAGCAGGAGTTCTTTGTTTCTTAAGTCCTGTTAGTTTTGTTGTATCACCTAACATTTTGGATTTAGCATCCACTTATCAGGGAGACCATGTACCGTTTGTCTCTTCGTTCTTGGCTTACCTCGCTCAACATGATTCCTTCTAGCTCCATCCATTTCCCTGCAAATGCCATTATTTTGTCATTTCTAATGGCTGCATAATATTCCATTGTGTATAGATACCACATTTTTTGGATCCATTCATCTGTGGTGGGGCATCTAGGTTGTTTCCATATCCTAGCTATTGAACCTTAGAAATTCTAAGGTAAAGAATTAACATGGTTTGGGGATCAACTTGTGGTGCTTTGGCTCCTTCTCATTATGCATCTTAGAGGGAAGCTGTAAGTTTTTGCACTTTCCTTTCGACTTCATTTCCAACTAGCCCGAGTTTAAATTATCACACTTAAACTTTGACAAATATCTTAACAATTTCTTCCTTATTTTTTAATTTTTGTTTATTATTACTTTTTGTGGTACTGGGTTTCAACTCACAGCCTCTTGTTGACTAGGGAAGTGCTCTGTACCCCTTAATGCCCCTCCCCTACCTTTTATTTTTGCCAGTCATGAGGCTGAACTCAGGGTCTGCGCACTGTCCCCAAGCTTCTTTTGCTCAAGGCTAGCATCCTACCACTTGAGCCACAGCGCTACTTCTAGCCTTTTCTGTTTATGTAGTACTGAGGAATCAAACCCAAGGCTGCTTCATGCATGCTAAGAAAGTACTCTATCACTAAGCCACATTCCCCAGCCCTCCCTCCACCCCCACAACTCTTTTTATTTTTTAGGTAGGTTCTTGTCTGTGCTCAAGAGTAGGCTTTTGACTGAAATCCCTGGATCTATGATACATACATAAGTGGAATCACAGATGTGAGTCACCATGTTTGCCTCACTAGTTAAGATGAGAGAGAGGTGTTTCTAACAAGCTTTTTTTCCCTGGCTAGTCTGAATAGCCATCCTCCCGATAGATCTCTATCTCCAAAATACCTGCGATTGCAGTCAAGAGCCACTTTATCAAGCCTACACCTCCTTTTTAAACAGTACTCTCTCACATAAACTCTTCTTCATCCTTCAAACATGTCTTAAGCATGTACAAATCCATTTCTGACTAGTCTATATGTGAATGTTGCTCTTATACCTAATTCTGCTTAGTCATATATTCTTAAACAGTTTATGTCTCAAACTCATTCTTCAGCAGTTAAATAAAAGAGCTAGATTATGTGAATATTGAGGGTTTTAAAAATCATTTATTAAAAAAAACAAAATATTGTCCTTTGTATACCATCATATTTATTTGCTTTAATCCTATAATCAATCATCCCTTTATACTTCAACAGTCCTTAAGTATGAACATAAACCGTCCTGCTTCAAAAAAACAAAAACAATAATTCAACAGGCATCATTAAGTTTAGATTCCTGTTCTAGATTCAATATTATCTCTGTTGTCTTATAAGAAAGGTCTCTAATGATTATAAGAGCAAAATATAAGCAAATATTGATTGTGTCATATTTTGCCTCTTATGGAAGGAAACTTGTATTGGTCGACAATGGGTATAGCTGTGCTGGAGGAAATAGTTCAAAGTTTAAAAAAGGAATTCATACCTGATAAAAGTAAGGGATCCTTATCTAAAGATTTCTTAACATGATCAGATTCACCAGTCAACGAGCTTTCATCAATTTTGAGATCATTACCCTGAATAAGTATACCATCAGCTGGAAGAAGATCACCTACAACAAAAAAGCAGTGTTATGGATACACTGTAAAGGAGATAACAGTTTTCCATTTAGTTAGATATGTTGCTTTGCTTTACTTACCATATTTCACTTGAGCAATATCCCCAACAGTAATGTCAGCTACAGGTATCTGAATGACCTGACCACCCCTGATGACGGTGAACTTTTGTTCCTGTTCAATTCGACTCTGCAAACCCCTGAACTGTTTCTCCTTACTCCAGTCATTGAAAGCAGTCACTAATACCACACACACCACTGACAAGAGGATTGCAGCTCCTTCAATCCAGCCGGTTTCACCTTCACCTTCTTCCTCCCCAACAGAAACTTCTCCACAAACTATTTGGAAAGAAAGAAAATGCTTATCAAAACATTTTGTATTATTGATAACATAAGCCACACTGTATTTTTGTTTAATCTTTTTTTGTACTGTATCAATTCTGTGTTTATTTCTTTTACTTTATCAATTTTGTGTTTATTCTAAACATTCTTGGACTCAAATATTCTGTAAGGATAAGATCTTACTCTGTCAATTTCAAACCTAAAGGCATGTTACAGAATGCTTCAAAAAACTTCATGTTACACTCCAGACCACTAAAAAAGTAAATCACAATAAAGTGAGTCACACATTTTTTTTCAGAAACTAAAATACCGAATGTTTTTAAGTAGACAACTTATTCTTAATATTAAGCATGTAATGGTGTTATATATACCTTAATTTAAAATATTTCGTTGCTAAAAATGCTAATGATCATCTTAATAATCACCAAATGATAATTTTTATTCTGGTAGGGGGTCTCAACATGATTATTAATGGTGACTGAATAATTATAGTAGTAGATGCTAAGAATGAAGCAGTAAGAACATTCCTTTTTGCAGAAGGTTTTTCTATAGCATTTGATGCTTGATAACCTTCAACCTATAGAACCTTTTTCAAAGCTTCAGTCAATTCTCTCAAACCTTACTGCTTTTTTATTAACTAAGTTTATGTAGCATTCTAAATCATTTTAACAATGTTCACAGGATCTTCACCAATAGATTCCAAATCCTAAGAACCACTATCCATCTCAATTGAGTTTTGCCCCGAGATTGCATCAGCCTTACAGGTCCAGGTTACACGTTTAGTTATCTTTGTAGTTCTATCACATTTACAATTACTTCCTCCACTGAAGTTCTGAGCCTCTCAAAGTCATCCATAAGAATGGGAATCAAGTGCTAAACTCTTGTTAATGGTTATATTTTTTACTTCCTTCCAGAATCACAAATGTTCTTAATGGCACCTATACTGATAAGTTCTTTCCTGAAGTTTTCAATTTACTTTGCCCAAACCCATAAAAAAGAATCTCTACTTGTGGTATTAGAAGTCTTATGAAATGTATTACTTAAAATAACAGAACTGTGGTCATGGGTTGCAAACCAATGTTGTGCTAACAGGCGTGAAAATGTTTGCGTACATCTCCATCACAGCCCCTCAGTAACCAAGTGAACTGTCAATGAGCAGTAATATTTTGAAGACTTCTACCCACCCAGGGTGGTGAGTCTCAACAGTAGGCTTAAAATTCTCAGAAAACCATGCTGTAAGCAGACGTGATACTTTCTTTGTTGTTTTGTTTACAAATCACTGGCAGAGTAGATTTTGTATAAATCTGAAGATTTCTGTATGGCAAAAGGATTGTTGGCTTCAATAGCTGTATTAGCCCTTAATGAGAACAGGCCTGTCCTTTGAAGCTAGGAACTGACTTCTCCTTTCTAGTTATGAAAGTCATAGATGGCATTTTCTCTTAAAATAAGCATGTTTCATCTGCACTGAAAAATGTGTTGTTTCATCTTCATCAATTATTTTAGGTGGGTCTTCTGGATAGCTTGCTGTTTCACCCTGTACTTTCACTTTATTTCACATGATTCTTTTCCTTCAAATTTCTTTTGTTGCTTCCTTACTTTTCCTAGCCTTCACGAAAGTGAAGGAAGTTTATGCCTTCCTCTAGCTTAGACGATGGTTTACAGTAATGATGTGGCTGCTTTGATATTCTATCCAGATCACTAAAACCTTGTCTGTATGAGCACTAAGACTCTTTCACTTGGTTATTGTGTTTTAAAATTTCCCTCAAAACAATTTTTCCTTTGCACTCATAACTGTTTGGCACAAAAGACCTAGCTTTCAGCCTTCTTTGGTCTTACCATGTCTTCTTTATTAAGCTTAATAATTTCTAAAGACATGTCTGAAAGACATTTAGGAGCCTTCTACTTGGACATTTAGGAGCCACTTTAAGACAATAATTAGTCTAAATTCAGCATGATTATCTCAGGAAATAGAGAGGCTTGAAGACAAAAGAGCACACCCAACATTTTTTTTCATCCACATTCACTATTGTATATGGGTCTGGTAGCAAAGATCATTGATAACAGATCACCGTAACAGGTTTTTATAAAAATTACCAACGTATGACAGATGCAAATGAGCCCATGTAGAAAAATGATGCCAACTGACTTGCTCAACACAGGGTTGCCACAAACTTTTAATTCATTTTGTTTAAAAAAAAAAAGCAATATCCATGAAGCACAATGAAGTCAAGTACAATAAAACAAAGTGTTTGTGCTTTTCTTAATCTGCTAAATTAGGCATTGGTTACACTTAAAAGTAGTTGACGCTTTTAATGATATATTTGATGGGCAAAATATGTATGAAAATTGAAGTATTATACACCACTCATAACTCACAATTATGCCACTTTTACTACACTGTCATAAAAAAAAGGCCTGGCTTCTATAATGTGAAATCAAGAAAAATGCTACTTGTGGCTTCACCTGTATGTGGGCCTACTAGGTAGCAGACACTATTTTAGGAGTATAATATATGTTAGCAATTTATATTCACTTTTTCCTCATAGAACTCACATTCACATTACTTTAATAGTGGGAGTGATATAGAAATCATATAATGAAACATAAATAATTAACTTCAGGTATCTTCAAGTCCACACAAAAAATAATAATGCGCTTAGGTTGAAGGAACCAAGAAGCCCCTCTGAGGTATCTACAGCATTTGGACTAGGAGCCAAATGTTAATAGGGAAACAACCACATAGATCTAAGGGAAAAGAATTCCAGGGAGAGTTTAAAGTTAGTACAAGTGCTATATGGGAAAAAAAGGGGAGGGGGACCAGAAAGGAAGAGATGAGGAATGACCTCTCAAAAACCCCAAACACTCAAATACTGTAGGGTCAGTACAGTAAAATGGAATGGTGTTTTTTTGGACTTTGGGCTAAAATCTACTTTTGAGTCTAAAATCAATTCAGGGGCCCATGACCAACTTGTTAAAGAAAATGAAACAGACTAAAATAGACTAAAAAATAAAAGGATATACATGTAGGAAGTAAAGTATTGTTCCTTGAAGCTTTACTTTTGTTATTTATAAATTCACGGAAAGGGATATACTTTTCTGGATTGCTAGGTAAAATTATTTCTTCCTGAAATGTCTTAAAAGTCACTGGCTGGACATAAACCACAAGAAAAGTGATACAGGAAAATATGTACACAAAAGGCATTTAGAATGATTAAAGCATGTTCTAGAACTCTCCAGAATGTGAGAATGCTTATTAGAGATTTTTCTTGGGAGAGTGTGTGGGACAGGTTAATGACAGAATACAGAATTAAGAGTAAGACTCATTAGGAAAGAAGTTAGAAAAGATGAAGTGAATGATTACACACACAAAAACAATCTGGAGAAACATTAGAATGGAGCCATCAATGAGTATAGAGCATTTTTCTAAGATGAGGTAGAAACAGAATGAGTCATGTGATGTTGTTTCTTGCCCCCCATTCAAATACTGGAAGTTATGTTTTAATTATTTTCAAGCTGAAAATGAAATAACTAGTTGAATGAACTTTTAGTTTACATTCTTTTAAACACTAGTTGTTAATACAACCTCCCTCCCTACCCAGAAGATAGACTAATTTTCTTAATTAGAGCAAGCCTGGATTTGAGATGAAGTTTTAAACACCACATTAAAAACTTTAAACAATCTGGAAACAGCTAAAATATTATCCAAATGAAGCACTTAAGTAGGTTTTATATTATTTATTAAAAACATAAAAATGTAATAATTTATAGTGTGCATGAACAACAGACTGACATTAGAAGATGGAATTCATCAGTTACATGTCAACAAAAAAAATGTAATAATTTATAATATAGTGTGCATCAACAACAGACTGACATTAGAAGATGGAATTCATCAGTTACATGTCAACAAAAATTTTGTGCAATTGATAGATGGGACTGAGAATTGATTTGGTTGAGTAAACTTCCATTTGAATTTATATAATGTGTTCTTCTCAGCTATGAAAAACAATAAAACCGGGTTAAAAAATAAATTTTAGACCTAAATTAGGTTAATATTCCTGTTATTCAGCTATATTAAATAATGAAAAATTCAAACAGTCATCTTTATTTTCCGTTTTGAATATTTTTGAAACAAATTAATGATACATTTCATTTCATATACACTTGTAATCCATATTATACAGATGAGATTAAAGCCATCTTTAAACACATGGTAGCAAAATATTCTAGTAACGAAATTCTTTTCCTACTGATGACCACAACAAATTATTTAAAGGAGTTGTAGGGAAAAAGACCCAGACCATACTTATAAAAGGACTACAGTTTATAGTTATGTAGTTTTTGTTTTGTTTTTATTTTTTTGGTAGTACTAGAGTTTGAACAATGGGTCTTGTGCTTGCTAGGTAGGTACTGCAGTACTTGAACCATGCCCCAAGCCAATTAGTTTACAATACTCTCAAGTGGAAAGACAATAAAAAAAATCTATTTTACCAAAAAGGTTCCCTTGTAAATATCTTCAACTGAGAGATATACAATCTAAGTTTCCCTTAAATTCCTCTGTCAGAAAGCCAATCTTTCATTAAAAAAAAATAATAAAACCCAAAAACTCTTAGCTATTTCTTGTGTATGCATTAACAGTATACAAAAGCCATTTGTAGAGTGCTGTTCAGGAAATTATATAACAAAATTGTTCAAATATCACATTACATTGGATGTATTGAATCAAGATGTGGAGATTAGGAGTCTGTGGTTCAAGGCTAGCCCAGGCACAAGTTTATGGGACTCAATCTCAACCAATGGCAGAGTACAATGTTATGTGCCTGTCACACTCAGCTCTGTAGGAAAACACAGATGCGGGACAGAGATTCAAGCCAGCTAGGCATAAAGCCAGACCCTATCTCAAAAAATAACTAATGGAAAAAAAACAACTGGTGGAGTGGCTGAATGCCTGACTAGCAACTGCAAGGCTTTGAGTTCAATTCTCAGTATTGAAAAGAAAGTAGAAATGATTATTATTTACCATGATGCCAAAGTATCTTTTCATGAACAGTGTTAATTAAAGGATCTTTTAAAAGGGTCTATGACAGGTGTAGATTATCTTCTCAGTTGGGCCTAATACCATAATCTCTAACAAATTCGGAAAAATTTTGGTCACTCTGTAAATAAAGTAGTTTGGATTCCAGAAAGATTTGTCCTAGACATTGTTGGTAGAGTCCATTCTAGTGAAATTGTTTTCTTTCTCTATCTGTAGTACTTGTGTTTTGGCTTTGGGATTTCTACTTGTTGGCAGGCTCTCTACCACATGAGAGCTTGGTCTCACATTTTGGTTTAGATTGGTATGGAACCATGATTCTTTAGATCACTGCTTCTTGAGTAGCTGCAATTATACAAGGAACCACTGAATTCTTCTTAGTTTTCTTTACTTTTCTTATAGCTTTAGCAGGAAAAGTGCTAAAAGTAAAATTTTTAATAATCTAATAACTCAGTGAACTCCAGAACACCAATTCTTAATATCTATGGTAAAAGCTGGATAAATGGAAAACTGGCTAAACCAACTAGGCATCTCTTTTCAGACCAACACACATATCTATATTTCTTGCCACACACCCACACCTCTACCAGGTAAGCACACTTTCACATAGGTAACCAAACAGCCCAAACACAAACATACTTTTAAAATTTGGAAAGATTGGAAAGATACATTAAAAATCATATAGCAGTAATCTCTAGAAAGAATTTTTTAAAAAAATGTTATTACTTCCTTTAGACAGCCTTTTCCCACCTTACCTTTTTATACAGCAAAATATTACTATGTATTTAAGAAAAACACAAAAAATTGCCTACTAATACTGGTAAGAGCATTGCCTAAATACTTTTCTATTTACATCAGTGCTACTCAACCAGAGGCAATTTTACCCCCATGAAAAGACATGACAAACTTTAAAGTATTTGTTGCCTCACCTGGGGTAAAGGTACAAAAACATAGCAACAAAACTATTCTGGCTCAACATTTCAACAGTGCTGCTGCTCCTAGAAACCTGGTTTTATATTGATCTCAGATAAACTGGCTTATTCTTTGACTAGCTTCCTTAAAAAAAAAAAGTAAAGTCTTTACACACCCTTAGGCACAATTCCCTTGAAGGTATTACTTTGTATTACAACTTAAGCAACTTTTAGAGTTAATGAAGATTTGATTCTTCACAGCTTAAAAGGCATCAGAATGCAACTTTTACATGCAAAAAGTACTGTGCTGAACCTCTCTTTTGATCTATAAAATACTACTGTATGACTTTATCATTAGTTGAGTACAGTAACCAAAACGAAGCTAGAATTACTAACAATTATAGGACATACTAACAATAATATTCAAGTAATTTTAAAGAGATAAATGAAAGGTAATGAACAAAACAATGCCTTCTGTGGCTACAAGTTAAAGCAGATTTATTTACATTACAATGCATTTCTTCATTGGTTAGGATACTTTTAAAGTTACTAAGATTCCCTTCTCAACAAATAACCAAGAAGTGGTGGAGTGTTTATGAAATCCCAGCTATGTGGGAGTGCAGTTAGGAGTTATAGGCATAGAAGCATAAGACCCTAATATATATATATATACATATATATGTGCATATATATATGCATATATGCACACCTAAAGCAAAAAAGCAAATAAATAAGGGCTGAGGGCCTGACTCAAGCAATAGAGTATTATCTAGCAAGTATAAGACGTTGAATTGAAAGCCCAGCACTACAAAAGAATATCCAAATGCTCAAAAATCTGAAAGTTTTTTGTTTTTTTTTTGGTTAGCCAGGGCACTGTCCCTGAACTCTTCAGCTCAAGGCTAGCAGTCTATCACTTGAGCCACAGCATCACTTCCGGTTTTCTGGTAGCTAAATGGAGATAAGAGTCGCATGATGTTCCTGTCCGGACTGGCTTTGAACCGCGACCCTCAGATCTCTGGCTCTGAGTAGCTAGAATTATAGGCATGAGCCACTGGTGCCTGGCGATCTAGAACTTTTTGAGAACATGATAGTGCAAAATTCCATACCATGCAACTTTGTTTCATGCATAAAATTATTTAAAATATTAAATAGTGATAGCATAGATCATGTCATATATGTGTAGTGTTCATGTGTAACAACTGGGTCATATATGCATACTATGTGACATATACAACACATAGTGTATATGGCACATTGTTAAACTTCTGTGTTTATTATAAAATTCAAGTAACATTTTCTTTTTTTCTTTTTCTTGTCGGTCATGGGGCTTGAACTCTGGGCCTAGGTGCTGTGTTTTATTGGAGATAAGAGTCTCACAGACTTTCTTTCCTGGGCTGGCTTTGAACTGCAATCCTCAGGTAGCCTCCTGAGTAGCTAGGATTATAGGCGTGAGCCACTGGTGCCCGGCTCCAGTAACATTTTCTAATGCAATTTTGAAAATTATTTCAGGTAATATACTGAGAGCACTCAGAACCGTGCCTAGCACATCACAGTCAGTACTGAAAATTTGGCTTATGTATTAAGCAAATGAATATGCTGAAATAGCATCACATAACTGCCTTTTATCCCCCCTATTTACTTACGTGCATTATCCCCTTCTGGAGGTTGATAAAAAGAAAGGCCCAATGACACTATGGCTGCAATTTCTAAAATAATTAAAGTGACATCTTGTAATGCTTCCCATACTAACTGAAGAAAGGTTTTTGGCTTTTTAGGAGGTATAAAATTCTTTCCAAACGCTGCTTCTCTTCTTTCCAGATCTGCAGGGTTTCCACTTAAACCTAATAAAAAGAAATAAATATCAATGAAAAATACCTGTATCTACTGAAAAGACACTAGATCATTACACCTTAGACTGCAGTTTACAAGGTCCTACAAAAATGTTTATTTTCATGCTTTAGGCATTTCAGTCACTGAAAACATGTGCAGTGCTTTACTTCAAGAATTCATTTCTAGTAGATAACTCAAGAATGGGACTGAGGGTTAGGCATGTATTCTGGTTGTCTAGCACGCACAAGGTCCTGGAATTGAAAAAATGAACTTCAAATATTCACTTTCCCAGTGGTTTATTTCTCATCATAATTTTATACCATATTAAAAGCTGTAAGACCAGAACTAATTATGACCATGTGATAATACTATAATATTTCCATCACCTTTAGGGTATTTTCCCTTTCAAAATGGGACAGTCATACATAATACATATACATACATATACATACACATATTTGAAGATCTGATTTAGTTCTTGAATCCTGAATAATTAACTAAAAGTGTTTGACTTTTATTTACGGAACAACATGGAAAGGTATAATTTGTCACAACGTCTAAAAACTCAAGTGAAATGTCTCTTAGATTGAGAAAAGATTCAGCAAACCATAAAACATAGGAGACTTAGAATGACCTTTGTTTCAAGAAACAGGAAGTACCACTGGCTGACTCTACTTGCTATCACTGTAAGGCAAAAGGCACACTACAGAACAGAATACTTATTGTTTGGAGTGCAGAATTATAAGATATGAGGGAGGAGGTTAAATGAACATTCCTTTGCCTTGTCTTCAACTTATTAAGTACATCCACTTTAACCCTGCTTACCCTGCTAAACCTACATAGATTCCATTAGTATACATAGGTACATGTTATGTGGACACAATAATTCAACAGTGACAAGTTTTACTTTAAATTGAACAAAGGACTGCAGATGCCAGAGGAACAGTACTTTTAATTTGTCACTTTAGACCCAACTTCAACTTGGATTTTTTTGGCAAGAGCCATTTCATGAAAAATTATGAAAGGAAGATACGAAAGAAGATTACTGGAAGGCTCTTGTTTCTAAGCTCTTTAGGTATTAATTTCAAATGCTAAAGGCATATAGAGTAGAAACAAAATACAGAATAAAAAAATGAGAAGTGAACACAAACTTCAAGCAATTATTTTGTTGAAGGTATCTGATGATTCCAGAGTTAAGTTCTTAGTTTCAACTGTAACATGGTTAAACTGGGCAGTTCAAAAAGCATTTTAGATTTCTGATGTGAGAAGTCATCACCCAAAACCTTCCACAGAGCACTAAGCTTGGAAACAGAATCACTGGAAAGGGAAGTAAAGAACTACAGTAATAGTGATGTTATTAGATAATAGGTAATTTGTCTTGTTTCATGTCTTAACGCTCTCAGTAGCATAAAGAAAATGAAAGAGGGTAAATTTATTGTAACTCTTCTAAACTATCACCACACACATAAGCACGCACACACTATATAGTTCATGAACAAAGTTGCTTGGCTTTAGAAGTGCAACTACTGAAATTTGTGTAAATCATTTCTTGGAGTTAAAGACACTACTATTTGTTGGTAAAACCTGTAAAATTGTTTTAATGTACCAAAGAAAATGTACAGTTTATAAATCACAAATTATAGAGATATTGCTATTAAGTCAGAGAAAATAAATTACAAACTAATCGAACACAATAGTCTTAACTACATTTTGAGGGCAAATACTTTCTGAAAAAAATTGTGAGTCTAACTATAATAAAGCTACTGGTTTCATAACAGTAAGTGATTCTCCAACAGTTATTTGCTGAACATCTACTAACTAACTACTTCCACATACTGTTCTATATGTTGAGAAGCCAGTGTTGAAAAAGACAACTTCTCTGTCCAACAAGTACATACTACACTACAGGGAGACAAAAAGCTACACAATTAAAGCAATTAGATACATATAAGAACAGTAAAAAGAGGGCACACTAAAACTCTTACTGGATTGCCACAGCTTTTCGGAAGAGCTAACATATGATTTGAGTCTGAATGATGAGGAGTCATCCATGAGAAGGCTTAGAGCAAAACTCTTCCAGCAGCATAAAAACAAATACAAAAGCCCAGAGACCAAAACAAAGACTACTCAGAAGTCAGAAACAAGCCACTGGGGCTAGAGTCCAGTGAGGAAAAAAGGAAATGGTATGATGGAAGAAGTAGCCAGAGGCAAGATCTTGAGTATATGTAGAGGAATGGCATTTAAGTATGGTAGAAACCACTAGGTTTTAAAGCAGGGAAGTGGTAAATAATCTTCAGTTTAGAAATGTCATTTAAATTGCTATGTAAAGAAAAAATTAAAGAGAGCCAATAGCAGAGGGAAAAGACTAGCTGGAAGGTTATTTCAGTAAAAATAAGAGAGGAGCCTGGAAGGTGGCTCAGGGGTAGAGTGCTTGCCTCTCATGCATGAGTCCCTGGGTTCAATTCCTCAGTTACCACATAAACAGAAAAAGCCAGAAGTGATACTGTGGCTCAAGTGGTAGAGTGCTAGCCTTGAGCTGAAAAGCTGAGGGACAGCCCTCAGGCCCAGAGTTTAAGCCCCATGGCTGACAAAAGAGAGAGAGAGAGAGAGAGAGAGAAAGAGAGAGACAGGGGGGTGCGGGGGGGGGGAGAGAGAGAGGGGAAGGTGGTTAAGTTTGAGTTTTAGAAGTAGAAACTGAGGAATAACTGTATCTACCAGATACCACAGAAGATCAGACAATCTGAGGAATGACTGGATGTGGGATGAAAAGGAGAGAGAAGAATGACAGAATGATATCTAGCACCTTTTTTTTGGGGGGGGGGGGGGTCGGTCCAAATACTAGAATGGAACAGTTTACTGTAATATTAGAAATACGGTTGGTTTCACTGACAAATCATAATGGATGTGTAATTCAGTGGGTGGGCAACTGAGATATTTACGAAGAGAGGGGAGGTTTTTTTTTAGAATGCAAAATCAGTAGAAAGGGTAAGGTAAAAATGATTTTATTTATACTTCTAAAAAAAAACAATTAGAGTTGCAAAGTAATCAGATGTCTAGTCAAAATCAGAATGCAGGAAAAATCCCCTATGCCAGGGAATCATCAATATACAGGATTCAAATGAATCCACAGGACAGATGAGAGCTTCTAGAAAGCTAGTTTAAGAGAACAGGATGGGCTGGGCGCTGGTGGCTCATATCTGTAATCCTAGCTACTCAGGAGGCTGAGATCTGAGGATCATAGTTGGATGCCAGCCCAGGCAGGAAAGTCAGTGAGACTCTGATCTCCAATAAGCCACTCAGAAAACCAGAAGTGGTGCTGTGGCTCAAGTGGTAGAGTGCTAGCCTTGAGCTGAAGAGCTGAGAGAGACAGTGTCCAGGCCCAGAGTTCAAGTCTCATGACTGGAAAAGGGGGAGGGGGTGAGAAGAACTGGTTGAAGGCTACAAGCCCTGGAACACTCCATCATTTGATGGTCAGATGGGAAAAAGAAGCCAAAGGCAACTGAGAAGGAAAAGCTAAGTGGGAGGTGACAATGGGGATAAAGCACAACAAAACAAAACATGTTCATGCAGTACTACTGAAACCCAGGAAAAAAATTTAAAAAGAAAACACGCTGACTAGTGTTAGTAGGCTGAGAAAGATGAAGTCAGAGAATGGATTACTTTCTTTCATTAGATAATAGAGGCTGATGATCTAGATAAGGAACCTTCCAGTGGTATTACATAGAATAAAATCTGATTAGTCAGAACTGAACAGAGAATGGGAATGAGAAAATGAAAATAGCAAGTACAGATAATTTTTTCAGTGAATATGATGTAGTGGGGAGATGTAAAGGTGAGTTAAAGTGGTTTTTATTTGCATTTTGGCTTGCTAACAGTGAATGACAGGCAGTAAAGCAAGTTATTTACCAAAGATAATAAGAAGTAGAGAAGATGACAGCAATGATACAAAACACAAAGGGTAATACTGAAGAACCACCTCTGAAAAAGCAAAAAGGAATGGAACCACAGTGTGTATAGGTGCTAGCCTAATATAGATATAGGAAAATAATTGCAAGGAGAAATGAATATTTGTGAGAAAGATATATAGCAAGACTGATAGGGGAATGAAACTTGGTCCTAGTTTTAAAAATATACAAGATTCATCAATCATTTGGAGGGAGTAACAAGAAAATGTAAAATTCTGTGGGCTGAACTGGCAAGGAAGTCAAGGACATGCATAGACTTGATCTCTCGTGGCTCAGCTTTACAAAGAAAACATAATCCAAACCCATCAAAACAACTTCAGAATTACATGCTTCTGAGGCTTGGATCCACCACTGTTGGAAGTAAAAAGAGCCATGTTCATTTATGAGTAGATAATGACTCAATAGTACTATTATCTTTATATTTGAAAAACAAAGGCCTTGATTTTTTTATCAAGACCTTGATATTTGATATAAAAAAGTAATATCTCAAATTGTTGGGGCTAACTCAGGAAAGACAGGAATGGTTTACTAGAATGTTGGAAGCATGTGGATTTAGCTGAAAATGATTACAAATATACAGCACCTACTAGTCCTCTTAAATTCTGTACCTCAAATTGTGCCTGCATTTGTGTATGTATGTATCTGCATGTGAAGGTAGGAGGAGGCAGCAGCAGCCAATCTGACTTCTCTGTGAGGTCCAAAGCAAAACAATGCAGATCTAGAAAAATATGTGGAAATTTGTGCTCATGTGCACACTTCTTGGTACGCAACCTAACTCTCCCTCTATTCTCAATTTCAAAGGAAGGGCTCATCTCTTCTCTCTTTCCCAAGTTTTAGAACCACCGGAATATTGTCAAACTTACATATTCATTCCTAAATATCTACCAAGTGCCAAGCATTGTGAAGGCAATAAACATACAAACAAGATATAAATTAGCCAGGATGCCTTTCATGAAATATTTGCCTCCAAGGAGTTTGGAAGGCAGAATTTAGTGATTAGTTAAATACAACCAAGTATATCAAGGATTACAATGAAGCCATTGAGG